GTTTTCCAAGAACTGCACATGAAACTCAGAATTGCGTTATTCGATAAATCAGACAGCTAGAGTGAGGCAGGAAGTGGCACGGCTGTGAAATGTGGCGTACTGAAGCAGATCCACATGGGAAGATTGCTGTTGCACATCTAGAGATAGCTCTGAGTACACTAGACATGCAAGTGCCCCTGATCCAGGGCTGGGTGGACCTGGGGGTGTATCAAAAGTCAAGACCCTCTTGTGGGCCAGCCCTGTAAGCTCGTGGTTAAAATGAGTCAGATTCCACATGGTCAACCATGATTTAAATCTCTCCCTAATAGCTGGGAAAATACACTGGGCTTTGTGCATGTGTGCTCCAAATCCGGACAGGATGGAGAAAGAGAGGAGAAGGGATTGTGGCATGAGCATGCTCCCCTGAGAGGTGCGTTCACTCTCTCTCTCCTTCTGTCTGTCTGTCTGTCAGGTTAATGCATGCGCCCTCTAACAAAAAGAAAAAAAAAAAATACCGTGGTAAGGATGCCTTATTGTCTCTGTCTTCCTTTCATCTAACTCATGGAATAAATGAATAAATTAAAATAAAAAAGAAAAAAAGAAGACACCTTCAGTTTTTCCCAGTCCAATAACAGGCTGAAATGAAACAGATAAGAAGCCTATAGATTCCTTTTAGGAGTTGTTCTATCCATGGAGGTCAGATCCCTGATGTGACTATTAAATTCTTATGCTACATGGTGTTACTGCCCTCTACCCTATAGCCCAACAACCTAGAAGAAATGAGTGTGTGGAGAGCTGATTTCATTTCTCTTTTGAACAGCTGGAGAAGGAACTGGGGATTAAAATGTATTCTATTGTCCTATCACCAGAGAGATTTTTTTCATGAAAATGTATCTATCATCTTGGGTTCTGAACAGAAACAAGGCCATGGAACAGAATTACCATTAGTACCTGAGAAGGGAGTCGGGAGCATGGAGAAACAGGGACAGGTCAATAAGATTGTGTTCCCACTTTTTTTGTTGTTGTTTAAGAGTGGAAATTTTAGTCCTCAATAATATGTTATAGGCTAGATATTAAGTTTTTTTTTAATTCTCTAATTTATAGACACTCTTTACTCTCAGAGTTAACTTTTAAAAACAGTCAAGTTGGGACCAGCAGTTGGCTTAATGGCTATGTCACTGGACTCCCATGTAGTCGACTGCGGTTCTTGTCCCGGACCCGGTAGCTTGAACTCATGCCGAGAGCATGTGAGTACATGCCCAAGACCCAGAGAGGAGAATGGAGGAGAAAGGATTGTGGCATGGCCATCCCTCCTGGAGGGGGATTTCTTACTTTCCGTCTCTGTCTCCCTCTGGCAAGTGCATGCACACTACAGCAAAAATAGCTCCCCCCCCAAAAAAAAAAAAGTAAGTGAAAAAAGAAAAAGAAAAGAAAAAAGAGGAAGACACCCATTTGAAATATTTGAAATTCATGTCACCAAAGCATACTGATTTTTTTTTTTAAGAGAGATTTTTTTGCTATAGAGCACATTCACTTGCCAGAGAAACAGAGAGAGAGAGAGAGAGAGAGAGAGAGAAAATGAGAAATCAACACCCAGTAGGGATGGCCATGCCACAATACCTTCTCTTCTATTTTCCTCTCAGGATTTTGGACACGCACACATACACACCTGGTATGAGTTTCAAGCCACCAGATCCAGGACTCAAACTATGGTTGTCTCTGTGGGAATCCAGTAACATAACCATTCTGCCAGCTGCTAGTTCCCATACTCATGTATTTTTATAAGTCCATTACACCAGACAGGTTGAACATCTGCCTATCCCTACCGATTCTATGTAACAATCTTTGTGACCTTGGACCTGTTATTATTATATTCATTTCTTTTTTAACTCTCTGATGTACACAATTGTCCCCATGGACTAATTCTGTGTTCATTTGACCTTCTCCACACTGTCCTAAGCACATGCATTTAAGACATCAGCATATTTATTCCTTCTAGCTGATAAAACTGAGTTTTATGTCAGGTGGTCACACCTAGAAATTGTCTTAATTTATTGGGGGGAAAAGATGACAAGTAAGATAGAGACCCCTACAATGAGCGTCTCAAGAGTTTCTGCTGCGTTACCCAACACTTAACATCACGTCACAGATCAAGTTTGGAAACCAGTTAGAGAAGCAAGTTCTGACATGGTTTGACATTTGTCTACCCCATTAACTTCATTGATCACGTCATATGCTGCGGGACAGTTTAAGTAATTTGACTCCTCATTATACTTGGGTCACCCACAGCTCACCTATCTGTCATGCAAGTGTCTCTCCACCAGATCCCTAGATAAGAACTGCTCACACACAAATGGCAACAGAATTCAGATGGAAAAGTTGCTTGTGTGGACTGATTGGGCACTAATGAACTATTATGGGAGACAAGCTTTTCTCCATATGATAAAACGCACCCATTTGCAACCATGACATGGAATAATTCAAGGTTCTCTCTGTCATGGGCAAAGAAATCAAATTATTCTTGCCCTATTTTCATTTTCTTCCCCCCAGCAGATAGACACAGCTGAATCTCTTAATTAAGCCTCAGAAATAACTAGAAAGGAATATAAATAGATGTTTCTGACTGCAATATTATATAGGGCTTAAAAAAAAAAAAACATGAGTAGCTTTAGAATATTTGTGTACTTATGTCTTCTATCAGTTTTCCAAGTTGAAGCTCATGGAATCTTCATTTCTGTCAACTTTATTTTTTTCTTTTGATCCAATATTTAAATGCACTGAATAGTAGAGTAGGGATAAGCCTGGGGCTCAGTACTTTAGTATACCTGCCAGGTCATTCTATTGCAATCTAATGTTCCAGAAAGATGTTCCATAATGAGGGCATTATTGTCTCCCATGCACGTCTCATTTAGGCAAGAGGGGCCCTCCAGGAGAATTCTAATCTATAATTTCAGAGCATGAACTATGAAGCTCATGTGTTCTAAATCCCCCTCCTCCAGCCATGGTGGAATTCAGAAAGCATTTCATTTCTCAACAAGCGAATGGGTGCCGCTGGATCTCCTTACTGCATTGTTCACAACTTCTCTGCCAGATTCTTTTCTTATTTTTATCTGCAACCTAACTCTTCCCTTGAGTTCAGAACCCATAATGGCAATGGCTCTGTCCTTTTGTCCTTCTTCACCATATAATTAGACCATATTAAGGAAACCTGGATCCAAAAAGAATACAATGACTCAGTTTGGGCATGGGAAGACCTGCGAGCCATTTGCAGAGGTGTTTTATTCATACTTGGTTCAGATCCTTCCATTAATGTTCCGTATGCATCTTCCCCTATGCACACTGAAAAAACAGTTTGCTTTCATGTTGAGGGTGACTCTGGAGAGCAAGAGAAAGAAAAACCAAGGACACGAAAGTATCTTTAGCCCTGGGGCCCAGGGAACACCCAGCTCCTTTGGAAGGTGTTGCACAGGGAAACTGTTTCTCCCTCCCCAGATGGACATGCAACTCCAGGTGCCAGAATGGTCCCAAGCAGTGGTTTTCCTGATTATGCAAATAACTGGTCTCTCAAGTTTATTAGTTTCTCCAAATAGGTAATTCTGCTATTTCAGAGGTTCGTTACCATTTTATTATAGATACCATGCACTCTGAGACCTTGAACCTGTTTGACTGCCCTCCATAAATATTTTCTTTTAAATCCAGAGGGACTCAAGGCTGTCTCCTGTAAATTCAGGGTTGTTTACAGAAAAAGCACGGAACATGATTCTACAGCACTAACGGGGAACTTGCTGAGCCTCAGTGCTGCCCTCCACTTCCCTCCTTATAACAGAGAGGAAAGCACGTGCACAGATTGGGGAAGGGGTTTGTCTTCAGCCCATGGGACCCATGACTCGAAATGCCCGCTTGAGAATTAGATGCACAACTCTTTGCTGAGCTAGAAATATCTGGAGAGAGTGGGGTCTTCACAGCAGCTGTCTCATTCACTGATGTGAGAGGTCAGAGCATGAGGTAATCGAGGGCTCTTTCTTTTCCTCTGCACCTGCAAAAGCACATTGCTAATTCCCTCACAGATGCCAACAGGCATTCAGGCTAATAGGATGCCATTCAGACTAACCAGAGCATGTCTCGCACACCACAGCACTCTCTATCACTGTGGGGCTGTGTCTAAAGGGAGAAGAGGCTCAGATCAGAGGGCAGCTTGATTTATATTTCTGTTAAGTGTTCATTCAACACTTGCTATTTTATCTGCATTCAACAGAGAACAGAAATTCCTTTAGGTGCATTTTGAAACGTTAATGAATGTAAGTGTCGGGGATTGAAGTAATTAATTACTATATCACAGATTGTCCTAAAACATCATACCTAAGCAATATTCCATAGTATATATGTATATACTGGATGTCTATACTGTATAGTAGAAACGGAAAGATCCAAAGGTAGGATAGTACGGAGGACAAGTGCAGATACCCGAGACTGGGAAGACAGGGAGTGGGAGGCAGACAGTGGGTAAGAGAGGATGGGTGGTAGAGGGTGGGTGGAAGGAGCAAAGGGAAGACACATTGAACAGACAAAAGAATGTGAAGTTCTCTGTTGAAAAAAAATACATTTTGCTATTTTTGCTTTATAAAAATAAAATCACACTTAAGTAAAAATGTTAAACCAAACTAACTCTATTAAGGTCTATTTTACCATTTTTAGAACACAAACACTTAGCCAAGAAAAGTCATTTTACAATTCATGTTGAGGAAACATGTTATTATTATGACCTAGATGAAGGACATGCGCTCCATGTCATTAGCATTGCTAGAGGAGTGATCAATTGCTTGACGTTTTTCGAAGTGTCATGGCCCAAAGTAGTAAGGAGATTAATCAAGGCAGGCGCATTCTCACGATCAGCCTCCTCAGTGATATCTTCGTTTTGTTAACTTTTTGAAACGGTGAGGAATGTCCCTTTTCTTCTGATCTGATTTGTTTGTAATGCAGAGCTGTTTCTAAATGGGGTATGAAATGTTTTATTTTTCCAGTGGTGAACTGTTCAGATCCAGGGTTCGTGGAAAATGCCATTCGTCCTGGCCAGCAGAATCTCCCCGAGAGTTTTGAGTACGGAATGAGTGTCCTGTATCACTGCAAGAAAGGCTTTTACTTGTTGGGATCTTCAGCCTTAACCTGTATGGCGAATGGCTTATGGGATCGTTCCTTGCCCAAGTGTTTGGGTAAGTAAGGTTGTCTGTTGGATTCTTGTGTCTCTTGTGTCACAGAACCCTCTATAAACACCAACAAGGAAAAAAAAAAAAAATATATATATATATATATATATATCCAGATTAAGTTTAAAGGGAGTCTTGATTAGCTGGCCAGCAACTATAGTCTGCGACTCGGGCTCCCAGAGCCAGAACTGTAGTGCCAGCCAAAATTTAGGTAGCCTCTTGTAGGGGTTGGTTGCCAAGTGTGCAGGATTCCTACGTGAAAGCAGTTACAGAAGTTGAGTCAAGTAGGTTAATTATTTCTAAGGGGAGGGGGGTTTATGTAACCAGTTACATTGTTAAGCAAAGGAGTTTCAGACTAGTTAGCAAAGACAGTAGCAGAGTACAGGATGTCGTCCCAGATGGGGTTTTAGCACTAGGTGTTTTCTCATAAAAAGAATAAACAAAGATACAAAAACAGACAGTCATGTTAGGGAAAAGATTCAAAATGGACAAACATTTGTTCAAATACACAATCTAATATGTGGCCTTCCATAAAACGTGTATTTCAAAACATACTGGGTTTTAATTCTCTCTGATCCTCTCATCATCATTTGTATCCATTTTATAGCAGCTTTTGATAGACTAGCTAAAACCACAAATTACAACTTAAACTAGTTTAAGAAGGAAAATAGGGACACTGGCATGTTCACATACCTGGATCCAGGTCACCGGTTACCACTTGGGACAATTCTAAGGAAATTTTAAAATTTTTGTGGAAAAAGAAGTTAAAACATGAGTTTATTTTGGGACAAAATAATTTGAAATCTATTTATACCTTTTTCATAATATGCGCATTCCTTGAACTTTCCAAAGACCCCTGTATATCTTTGGCTCTGTTATTAGCACTGTCTCCTGCTTCACCCTAGCAGATAGGCCTATTCTACACAGCCCAACAGGGCAGCCAGTGGCCTCAGTACATCCTCTCTCAGGTTCACTCTTCCAAATACATGGAAAAATGGATTACCATTTACTCTCAGAATATCACTCATATCCATTTAAAAGCGAGTTTCCCTCAGAACTGCTTCTAATGTGTGCAGAAACTTGCCTCAGATTCTAAAGTTAACAATACAACCAGTTTCCATGGAGAAAGTGGGTGAGAACATTAAATAAAAAAAAAGATGATACAAATAATGCATCTGTACACACGTTACAATCTTCATCAAATTAGGTCTATGTTATCTTCACACATGGGGATTTTTCAGAGAAATTCGTTTGTATTTATTTGTTTATTTATTTTCCAAAACATTTTTTTTTTTTACATCTTCCCTGGCCTATGCGAGACTTCCATTAGTTTTGGTATTGTTAATGTGCATCAAATCTCCAGGAGCTGGGTTTTAACTGACTTTCTTTTTCCTAGGTGGCTAGTTCCCACCACTTGTTGTCATTAACAACTGGAATTACAATAAATGTAGGAAGGCAAAGATCTCAGAGGAGCAGTTTGCTTGTATACGTGCTCCAGAGCCCCTTTGCTTCTCTGTTTTTGCTGTTCTGTTGTTCACTGATGACTTTCTGTTTCCTTTTATTTCACCCGCAAATGGTCATTTACCTAATGCTTCACAGTTTCAGGTCTAATTAGCTTCTTTTTAGGACTCTATGTAGGTAAAGCCTAGTTCTCCAATGAATGAATGTCAATGTGGGACAGGCACTAAGAGCTTATGTGACTCAGGGGGAGAGTAATGCCTTCCAGACTTTTAAATCTAACTCTCTAGGTAGTATCCCATTTCGATTGCTGTGACTGAATGTAAATACTCTAGGATATTTAGTGGCATTTCAATAATTCATTGCTATCCTCAGTTCTATTAGTTTTTTGTGTGTAGTGTAAAGTTCGTCAGTCTGATACCTAATGAGGAAAAGGAAAAGAGAAATCTTTACTATCTTAGGGCCAGCCCTGTTGCCCGGTGGTTAAGGGAACTGAATCCCACATGGTTGGAAATGTGGTTTGAATTCTGGCCCTGGTAGCTTGGAAAATGCTCTTGGCATGTGAACATGCATGTCCAAAGTCCTGACAGGGTGGAGAAGGAGAGGGATTGCAGCCTGACCATACCCATGAGTGGGTGCTGTCTTTCTTTCCTTGTTCTATCTTTTTCTGTCTCTGTTTTTCTCTGGTGAGTGATCATGCTATGCCCTCTGTCAAAAAGGAAAGAAAAGAAAAAAATCTTAACTATTTTATGTTAGTCTGGAATCTAGAATGAGGGATATTTGTAAATAGATTATGAACCTGATTTGATATAATTTTAAGGAAATAAAACAGAAATACTGAGTTTTTTATAGAATAATTTAAGGAAGAAATCAACGATTCCTATTATTATTATTATCTTCTTATGCATTTCAGACTGCTATCTGTTGAAATAAGAATTTTTTCAATGATCATCCCACACATCTGAACTTGGAGATTAAGCATATTTGACAGAATTTTGCCCCCAAAGTGTATGATCATCATATTAACTGAAGATATAATTTAAATAGTTTTGATGGATCCATTTTTTGTTCTCAAGTTTCCTATAATACTGCTTATTTGGTGATATACACTTAAGAGTAGATGGGGAAATTTAGGTAGTGTTCCTGTCTCTTTGAAAACCCTACGTGTAAATATCTACTTTAATCAATGCTACCTCAATTTAAGTCTAGGAAAAAGAAAAAGAAAATATTTAGTGCATAGATATTGTGAAAGGGAGACTTGGCCTCTGGAAGTTCTTATCTTGTATCTACTAGGTTGTTGGAAAAGTCGTGACATATTCTTGTATAGAAAAACACATCATAACTTTCCTGACACAATATATAGACCTACAGAAATAAACCAGTATATTTAGATGTTTTTCTTTAATAGATGATGTTAGTATGGGTGTCTGTATGGGAAACAGCAATGCAAAGTGGTTTAACTGGAATAATGTACTCACTTATTTTCATCTTTTTGAAAGTTATATCATGCGGGCATCCAGGGGTTCCTGCCAATGCTATCCTGACTGGAGAACTGTTTACCTATGGGGCCATAGTTCACTACTCGTGCAAAGGGAGCCGGACTCTTATAGGCAATAGCACCAGAGTTTGCCAAGAAGACAGTCACTGGAGTGGAACGCTACCCCATTGTACAGGTCAGGAACCTAAGAATGATAAATTATTAGAAATATTACATAATTACATAAGTGTCCTTTTTTTCCCTTCAGTTTCTTTCCCGAATTGACTTTATTTCATTTTTATTTTATTATATTTTAATTTAAATTTATTTATTTGCATTTGTTCACTGTACATCATTACAGCATACAAAATGAGATTTTCTATCCAGAGTACACTGTATCTTGGCTCAATAAAGCACATCAACATACATGTTATCATCAACAAATAACTTTCCATTTCTTGTTTCCTGTATGTTTTGCTTTTTTTTCCCCATCCTTGATTCCCTCTCTCTTACGCTCTGCCATCTCCCACTCCACTCCCTTACTTCTTAATTATTACTTCATTCCAGTCAAATGGGCCATTATTCTCAGTAATCATCTTCATCAATATGCTTTGACACTCATCATTCTCCTGTAAGAGTCAGGGTTCTCTCGATCTCTCTTGCTAGAAGGCTTGCTTACCTTGGACAAGTTTGTCCCTGTTTGCTCATTGTTTTGTTTTGTTTTGTTTTTCTGTGCTTCCTGTTGATTCTTCCCCATATTCCCTACCTCTAGCATCAATAAATGAATAGATGCTTGTCCAAAAAAAAATCATTCCAATTCTCCCATGAAAATGTCATAAATAAATAAAATTAAGTGAATCAACAACTCTGGACATAGTTGAGCAGACTCAGACCTCTCATTAGACTTATTTCTATTCCCAGGACACCCTAACGCCTGTCTCCCTTTTGCTAGTGGTACTCACTCTTCAGTGAACACTTGCCACATTCCTTGTTCCCGGTATTTCACCTATTTAAAAAAATATATCATTCATTCCCATAAAATGTTACTATGTTTTAATCAACCATTTTGATGTCAGTGATAAAAGAACAATGTATTAAATTCTTCCATGTTGGGGGACTATCATAAAGAAAATGTTTTGGGCCAGCTGGTGGTGTGGTGTTTAAAGTGGCTGGATCTCACATGGCCAAGCTTGAGAAGTTTGAGTCCTAGACTAGTAGCTTAAAAAAAAATACCAACAGGTACATGTGCATGGGTACCCAACATCCTGAAAGGAGGGGTAAATGAAATAGAAAAGATTGCAGCATAACCATCCTTCCGGAGGGCTATGTTCTCTCTCTCTCTCTCTCTCTCTCTCTCTCTCTCTCCAGCAAATGTACCTGCCCTCCAGCAAGTTGAAAAAAAAAAAAGAAAGAAAATGTTTCTTATAAGATTGCCAGATGTTATATAACCATAACTCATGTTAAATACATGTTTAAATAACTTTTCATTATCTTTAAACATTACAATGATGTTTTAAACAAATCTAACAGAACTGTGCATTGTTATGCGTGTTTCTGTCTAACAGGAAACAACCCTGGATTTTGTGGTGATCCAGGGACCCCAGCACATGGGTCTCGCCTTGGTGATGAATTTAAGACAAAGAGCCTTCTCCGCTTCTCTTGTGAGATGGGCCACCAGCTGAGGGGCTCTGCTGAGAGAACATGTCTGCTCAATGGGTCATGGTCGGGACTGCAGCCTGTGTGTGAGGGTGAGTAAAAGCAAGCCTTGATGTCTACCTTGAAGTACGCACTGTGCGTGTCCTTCAAAGTTCCACAGAACTCTTGGCAATTCAATCCCCCTTCACACCTACATTCATAAGCATAGCATAAAAAATCATGACTTGGTACAGGGAGGCCTCTTGACTTTTCAAAAGATCTTATAACACTGCCTCTTATCCTTTGCAAGTTTATTAGACAGACAGCAGTTTTTAATCTTCTCCTGATGATACTCTGTATGTGATCTGTCAGCCTTTTATAGATTCTGGAAGTGAATAGACGGGGTTAAGGAGCAATGAATAGGAACAGTGCTAATCACTGATGGGAATATGATGATGATAAGAATGAAAATAATAACAGCATCAGCTACTAGCTATTTCATTCTATGACTAATGCACTAAATTTTATACTAGGCATTTTACATATAGCAAGTGTAATTTTATAACAATGGAGAGTAAGTATCCTCATTATACCCATTTTACAGTAACAAATGCTGCATCCAAAGAATTTGAATTGATTGCTCAAGCTTATTTAACATGTCTGGGCAAAAATTCACATCTCTTTAACATAACAGTAATCTCTTTAAAATAGGAAGTTATTATAAATGAACAGTATTAATAATTGTAAGTAATAAATTGCTTTCAAAATAAGTGTAATACTATTCTATTATATATCAGGTAAAAGAAAGATTTATTTTACTTAAAGTGGTCAAATTGAACATTCTTAAAAAGAAAATAAAGTCAGGAAGCAGAAAATATGAAATATTAACTTAATTTTAAAAATTCTCTCCTAATTAAATTTAACCTATTGTTTCATTGTTAGTCTACTTTTATCTTTAAAAAAAAATTGCTAGTGAATGTGTATACTCACTAGAGAGAGATGGAGAAAGAAAGAGAGGGAAAACGAGATAGTACTGCCTTTGGGAGATTGTCATGCCACAATCCCATCTCCTTCATTTCTTCTTTAGGGATTTTGGACATGCACACAAACATGCCCCATGTGCTTTTCAAGCTCTGGAGTTCAGGACCAGAACTGCATGGTTGGCCATATGGGATCCAGCCACCTCAACCATCTCACCACTGTTTGGCTCCATTTTTTTATATCATACCTCAGCACTGATATAAAAACAGATATATTGATAGCATTTTCATAGGTATAATTATTACTGAAAATCTTTCTTGTCAGCCAAAAAAGAAAAGAAAGATTTAATTATGAATGCAATGTCTCAACATTAGGATGGCATTATTATGATATTTGTTTGCTAAGAATATATTTACCTATAAACTAAGTGTATTTTTTTCACCTGTTATGAGGGATTTTCATGAAGTTCATGGAAAATAGGTATTAGGAAAAACTATGCATGGATTTTTAATTTTTCACACCAAAATGAACTTATACTTTAATCTGACTTATTTTCACAAATTTTTTAAAGTCTCCTTGCATTTGATTGGTTTGGGCACTGGTGCTTCATAGGTAACAACCGAAGATTTACATGTAATCTTTAATAGCAAATATAGTTAGAGTACAATAGAATAATAATATCTCTTATTGGTTTATTAAATTGCATTCAAAATAAATATAATACTATTCTATTGTATATCAAGTAAAAGAAAGATTTATTTTACTAAAAGGGGTCAAATTGAACATTCTTAAAAAGAAAACAAAGTCAGGAAGCAGAAAATATGATGAAATGTTAATTTATTTTTTTTAAATTCTCTTCTAATTAATGGATTGCATCAAATGTGATTCTATTTTATAACACACTTTTCATTAGTACACCTGCAGGGCACCTGCTGCATGCTAAGTGATAAATAAGTGTTTGTTGAATGAATAATAATCTTGACTAACTCAACATCCCGGTTCTATACAATATGAAAATTTAATTGAAATTTCTAGTTATGAAACTTTTGAGCTTTAGATTACCTTAGAGAGCATTTGCTTCTGTATTGGAAAATATATCTCAACTTAATGCTGAGGGAAACTGTAAGGTCTATGTTACAAAGGACTGTGAGTTCAAACCCAGATTCATAAAGGAAGGGGATTATGATTAATAAATTATATCTACCACGGACATAGGTACATACCAGCATGTATGTTTCTGTACTATTTTTGGGAAAAAAATGCAGTTCAACCTAAACATAAGTACATTTTTTTCACTTTTTTTCTTTTTCTTTTTTTGCTATAGGGCACGTGCACTGGCCAGAAAGACGAGAGGGACAGAGAGACAGAAAGCGAGAAATCACCCCCCAGGGGTGATAGCCAAACTACCATCCTTTCTCCTCCATTCTCCTCTTGGGATCTTGGGCACGCATGCACATGCACCCAGCGTGAGTTTAAGCAACTGGGTCCGGGACTTGAACTACAGTCAGCTACATGGGAGTCCAGTTACATAGCCATTATGCCAACTGCTGGTACAATAAGTACATTTTTTTCAATGCAGTAAGAAAAGACATCCCCTTAACTTCCAGTATAGTTACTTCTAAATATTACCATGAAAATTTCCTCTCTTGTCTTCTTGCATGTTTTTAAGAAAAATGTATCTTTGTTCTCCAGGCTAGATTTAAAAATGGAGCAAGAACATAGGCAAGAATATTTTCAAATATTTGGTCATTCTCAGAAACAGTTTCATGATACCTTATTTGTTATTAAATCCAACTAAGGGTCACATTCTTTATTTGTCTCCCTATTATATGTTTTTTTTTCTTTTTTGAGAGGTTTTCTGCTATAGGGCGCGTGCGCTCGCCAGAGAGAGAGAGACAGAGAGACAGAAAACGAGAAATCACCCCCCAGGGGGGTGGTCATGCCGCAATCCCTTCTCCTCCATTCTCCTCTCGGGATCTTGGGCATGCACGCACATGTGCCCAACATGAGTTTTAAGCCACCAGGTCCGGGACGTGAACTGCGGTCGACTTCATGGGAGTCCAGCGACATAGCCATTATGCTAACTGCTGGTTCCCTCCCTATTATATGTTAATGTGACTGGGCTACAGGGGAAATGCAGCAATCTTTTCAATAGAAAGGCAAAAAGAGTTTATAGACTAAAATCATTACTGTGAAGGGCCAGCAGGTGGGATGGCGGTTAAGGAACTGAACACCCACATGGCCGACTGCACTCAATTTCCACACCAGGGGACTCAAAAATCATTCCAGGCACATGTGCATGTGTGACCAAAATCCAGAGAGGAAAATGAAGGAGAGAGATTGCAGCATGGCCATCTGTGCTGGGGGGTGATTTCTCACTTTCCCTCTCTCTGTTATCTCTCTGTCTCCTCTCTAGAGAACACATGTGCCCTATGACAAATAAATAACACAGTGAAAGAAACAAAGCAACAGCTAAATTTTTTGTTTGCTAAGGAGCACTCAACTAGATATATGGAGTTTAGACCTGTTGCAGTGACCATCAATAACTGCGGTCTTAATGCCTCTACCTGGCACTAATGCCTCCACCTGGCACTAAGATACTTTTTAGAGAAATATAAAGTTCAGGGACCAGCAGTTAGTGTAATGGCTATGTGGCTGAACTCCCATGTAGTCGACCGTAGTTCTAGTCCCGGACCCGGTGGCTTAAACTCAGGGCGGGCTGTGTGTGTGTGTGTGCCTAAGATCCCGAGAGGAGAATGGAGGAAGAGATTGCGGCCTGGCCATCTCCCCTGGGGGGTGATTTCTCCCTTTCTATCTCTCTGTCTCTCTCTGTCTTTCTGGTGAGTGCACGCACCCTATAGCAAAATCCTCTCCAAAAAAAAAAAAGAGAAATATAAAGTGTAATCTTATCAAAGCCAGTTAACACAGCTGCATTTAGACTTGGTACTATGGAGGGGAGCATTTTACAAAGCAGTTTATGTGTGGCCACTCATATTCCTGTGGTAATTTTTATTTTCCAAAATGAATTCTCTTAAAATGTAAAATATGATTCAATTTGCACAGATCTTAAACAACAATCATATTGCATGAAGATAGATGCTTCTGAGTTGCTAATATCTTATAGATCCTTTCTAAAAAATCACATTCGTTGTGTCAAGTATTAAAAATATGTTTAATCCCAGAGTAGCAAGGCTTGGAATTTTCAGTGTTTTAATTCATGTTTTAATTTGTTTGAAAGTAATGTATTTAAGAAAGAATAAAGTGATCATGCAATTTTACATTTGTAGTTAATCAATAAAATAAATATATATATATACATATATATAATGTATTCATATTTTCCATAGAAATATGTTCTTTGGTTTTATAATAACTATATGGCCTATTAAGCTGATGACTTTTTGGTTCCTGTATCTGTCATTTATGTCATGGGCATTCCCTTTGTGTATGGTCGTTTCTGTTTTTTTAACAGCTGTGTCCTGTGGGAATCCTGGTACCCCTACCAATGGCATGATCGTCAGTAGTGATGGCATACTCTTCTCCAGCTCGGTCATCTATGCTTGCTGGGAAGGCTATAAGACCTCAGGGCTAATGACTCGACACTGCACAGCTAATGGGACCTGGACAGGCACAGCTCCTGACTGCACAAGTTAGTAACTGAACATCATGGGAAACTCAAGGACACTACTGTGAAATCCACTCCATTGAAAGGAGAAAAAACAGGATTTTAAAGTGCTTTATGGATTTTTTTTTAATTCATAGCAAAAAAAGCAAAAATATTTTATATTATTGCTCTGTTTCTTAGATACTTGAAGATTTTTCTGAAATTTCTTGTTTATATGATTGAAGATGCTTTAAATGGTCAGTTGGGTTGGACATTGTAAAACTGAAACCAAAAACGATCAAGACTTTCTCTGTATGACCGTTTAGTATAGAGAGAAAAGGAAACAGTATTGTGTTCTGACCATAGCCTGTGGGTTCCTGATTACATACCATGCCTAATTAGGGACTAGTCAGAGATGGTAACCAGCATACTAGTTGGCAACTAATAAAATGCAAATAAGTGATTCCAAACACATAGCCTCCATACAGCAGTCAGGATAGTCATGATAGCATGGTATCACTTTCATAATTCACTGCTTGATCACTTTTAATAGCAGTTGAAAAAGATTAACTTGGATAGAAGCCATAACTAATTCATTACATGATGACTTTGTATTTCTCTGATTCTTTTTTCCTACCTACTTATTAGTTATAAGTTGTGGAGATCCAGGTACACTGGCGAATGGCATCCAGTTTGGGACTGATTTCACCTTCAACAAGACTGTGAGCTATCAGTGTAACCCGGGCTATCTGATGGAGCCTGTCACATCATCAACTATCCATTGTACCAAAGATGGGACATGGAATCAGAGCAAACCTCTGTGCAAAGGTTTGTGTTATTATTGCTTTTGTGGTCTCACTGAGATGTACAAAAGTTTTTATTGCATTGCATTTTATTTCACTTTGCAAGCATTTATGTAACCCTGTTAGGGAATCAGAATTCTTGAAAACCTATTTGCAAAGGTTAAATCACTCTATTTCTATAATACTTCAGTCTCAGTTTTACAGATGGGAACATTGACTCACAGAGAGCTGTATCAAATGTCTTGAGATCCCAGACCAGATCTTGGAGAGGTCAGGACTCAGATAACAGATATATTAGCTCTGTAGTCTGTGGTGGAAGCCCAGGGGCCCACTGTCTCTTGGTAATCATTTTAAGCCCATTAGTTAAGTCTTATGATTGATTTGATGGTGAACACAGTCACAGACGTTTAAATGCAGGTTCAAGAGACAAGCAGAATAGTGGTCAAGAATGTTAGTGCGATGACATGTTTCAGGATTTAGATCCAAGACTGATGATGACACACCTTTAAAGAAGGCACATGGAAGTTTAGGACTCATGTGATTAAACTTTCTAGGGAAATTAAGGCAGGCTCAACCCAGTCAGGATGGCTTGAGAGAAGCAGAGTGGTTGGAATGCCACAGGAGAATGGGGCTGGCTGTAGGTTGTAAAAGGATATCTGAGGATTAGCACATTTGGGACTTCCCCACTAGCACCAAAGATGAAGTATCCAGGCTTTCTCATTGACTGGCATGGAAGAGGGACAAGAGAGAAAAGAGGAGGGTGGCGAGGGGCCGGCAAGTGGCATGGTGGTTGAGGGCGCTGGACTCCTACATGGCTGATCATGGTTCAAGTCCTGGACCTGATAGCATGCTATTTCATTCTCTCCCTCTCTCCCCTCTCTCTCTCACTCAGTCCCTCTCTGGTCAAATTAAATAAATAAATAAATTGATAAATAAAATGGAATAAAATAATTCTTTAAAAAAAAAAGAGAAGAGTGGAATCTAAAAGCTATCTATGTTCAGTCCCATAAGATGGTATATTTCTCTCTATTAGACTAGAAACAAAGGAAATACAGTGAGAGCTTGCAAAATGGTATTCCCAGCATGAACACAGTGCAAAAGCAGTCAAAGAGATTACCATATACATTAGCATCAACAACTTTTTGTTCTTGTGTCTGATAAATGTTTTTTGATCCCCTTTTTTCTCCATTACCTATTACTCACCCTCTCCTATATCTACAGTTGCCATCCCCCTATTATACCTGCCAGTCTTTCAGTTTCTGTCACAGAGTGCAGACATTCAGCATAAATTAAACAGAGATATACAATGCCTCTCTTTTATAGTCTAGTTCGCCTTGCTATAATGAAATCTTCCACATTTGTATGCTTTCTCTCAAAGGCCAGGGTCTCATTTTTTTTTAATGGCTAAGTAGTATTCCATAATGTATATGTGACACATTTTTTTAAATCTATCAATCAGTTCTTGGATATCTGGGTTGATTCCATGTCTTAGCAATTGTGAATAATGCTGTAATAAACATTAATGTGCAAGTGTTTTTCTTACTGAGTGTTTTCCTACCCAGGAGTAGAATTGCTGGATCATATGGTAGTTCAATTTGTAGTTTGTTTTTTCATTTTTATTTCTTTCTTCTTTATTAGATTTTGTGCATTAGAGTGAGCGTGCTCATCAGAGAGAGATGGGGTGGGAGTGGAATTGAGAAATCACTTCCCCATGCATGCCACAATCTCTTCTCCATTCTCCTCCTGGGATTTGGGGCATGTATGCACAAGCACTTGGCATGATTGTCAAACCTCTAGATCTGGGACTTGAACCCTGGTCAATCATGTGGGAATCCAGTGCCTTAACTACAATACCATCTGCTGGTCCTTCTATTTGTAGGTTTTTGAGGAAGATCCATATTGTTTTTCAGAGTGGCTGTTTGCATGCTGTTAAGATGTACAGTGACTAAATGTCATAATAATAAAAAAGACATAGAAGGTCTGAAGATATAATAGTAAGAAATTGTAGATACAAGAAATGTATAAGAGGGTGGTGAGTAGTAGGGTGTGCAAGGGAGGGGATTATGAAAAAAAAAATTTAACAGACACAAGAATGGAAAGTTATCTGTTGAAGATGATGTATATGATGTTATCTTTGACTTGGTTGATATGCACTGCATACATGCTTTGAAAAACCATATTGTGTGCTATCAAACTGTATAATGAGGGGTCAGCAGATAGTGTAATGGTTACATTACTGGATTCCCACATGGCTGACTACAGTTCAAATCCCGGACCTGAAGGTTTGAAACACACACTGGGCATGTGTGTGTCTGTCCACCAAATCTCAAGAGAATGGAGGAGAAGGGATTGCATTGTGGTCATCCCCCTGGAGGTTGATTTCTCACTTTTTTTCTCTCTATCTCTCTGGTGAGTGCATGTACCCTATAGCAAAATCTCTCAAAAATATATAATGATTAAATATAAATAAGAAATCATGCAATTAAAAAAATATAGTGAGAACAAGAGCTAGATACTTAGTAGTTTTAATGGAAAAGTCATTGTCTTCAGTGGGCTCTAAGACAAATAGTTTTGTGTAGAGAGTTTGTTGTGAGGCTTAAGAGTTCAAAAATGTTACTTCCTCTCCTCTCTGAGATGGCCATGTTTTTGTTTTTGTTTTCTGTTTTTTTTGTTTGTTTGTTCGTTTTGAGAGGTTTTTACCATAGGACGCGTGCACTCGCCAGACAGGCAGAGAGAAACAGAGAGACAGAAAGCGAGAAATCACCCCCCAGAGGGGATGGTCACACTGCAATCCTTTCTCCTCCATTCTCCTCTTGGGATCTTGGGCATGCACGCACACACGCCTGGCGTGAGTTTTAAGCCACCACCGGGTCTGGGACGTGAGCTGCGGTCAACTACATGGGAGTCCGGCGACATAGCCATTATGCTAACTGCTGGTCCCAAGATGGCCATGTTCTTTGATAGTCTTCTTTTCCTCTTCTAGTACTCTAAGGATTTTACTGTCTTCTTTTCTTCACCTGTTTACAAAACAGGCATGAAATAGATGTTTAACAAAACACAAAGTTGCGTAGGGAGTCTTCCAGTCAAGTGGTCATAATGAACATTGCCAATAAAGTAGTGTGGTTGCTGGGACTTCATACATGCTTTTTCAGATCTAAATTCCTTTCTCTGATACCCACTGATTTCATAACAAATCCCATGGATAACAAGACTTAACAGATCAGCCCTTTCTATCTTTGTCTTTCCCTCCTTGAAGTTTTCTCTGTCATTCACCCCAGCACCCACTGTACCATGATACTCACCACTCTTCCCACCTGCAGCCTTGCTCTCATCTTTCCTCTGAGTAGATCAGAGTTCCCCTGACCTCACCTGTGGACTCTCAAGACACATTTTTGAATTAGTAAATAGATGAGTAGAAACTTTAGTGTGAAGAAAAAGACCTATTTCCAAGTGTTGGATATGCATAGGCTATTCATGTGCATCTGTAAACTCTTCTCCATGAAAAGGTCTGAGAATGGACAGGCTAAGAAAATGCAGGCAAGTATCTCTCCTACTACCTTCTGCTGCCTGCATGTACCCCTTTTCCAAAGTTTAGGAAGCTTCTGGCTTCTCAAAGAAGAAACCCCTACTGGTATACATCCTAATGTGAGGGGAGAACATGGACCTGAAGAGTTATCACCAACCAGCAAATCATCCTTACAGAGCATGTTCTTTTTTTAATTACTGTTTTTTAAAATTTATTTTTATTATTATTTTTATATATTCAATCTCTATACATCATTTAGCTTGTAGAGAGAATTTACCCAACATGACATACACTCAGTCCAGTACAATTGAGAATGCTACACACATCATTATCAACAGGTAATAAATCATTTCTGTGTTACAGACCATGTTCTTAATTGGTGGCCTCATGCACAGAATGGACATCAGGCTCCTAGACCATGCTAAAATGCTTGCATGTGGTATTTTAAAGAATCTTTTTTTAACCATTCAGGCAGCTTCTAAATTATTCAGCAAATGAATGAACAGACCACATCTTTAGAGAATTATATGCTGCCTCTGAATACATAAAAAAATACAGATGGCAGAATAAATTCTTACCATCTGTCTATATAAATTCAAAAGGTTGTGTTCATGTTATATGACCAAATTCTAATTTGATTTGTCCTCAGTAACCATCAAAAACAGACAGAAATTAAATAAAAATATTTCTTCCTTTATTGGCCTTGCATATATTGAGAATGTCATGTTCCATTCTGTTATCTTTTACAGTGGGATATGTTTTGACATGACTTTGCTTTTACATACTTGATCTAAATTAATGAAGAAATACTGAGGGAAAAATTATTTTGATTTATAGCCTTCTTCAATAATTCTTCTTCGAATCCTTTAAGAAAACCCTATGTAACTTTTCTTTGCAATTCAAGTAAAATTAAAATGTGAGTCATTTGAATATTTCAGCTATGATGGACACTCTGGAACATTTAATCCTGTTTGTTTTTTGGAAATAGCTGTCCTGTGCAGCCAGCCTCCTCCCGTGCAGAACGGAAAAGTAGAGGGAGATGATTTTCACTGGGGCTCCAGTATAAGCTACAGCTGCATGAGCGGTTACCAGCTTTCTCATTCCGCCATCCTTTCCTGTGAAGGTCATGGGGTGTGGAAAGGAGAAGTGCCCCAATGCCTGCGTAAGTGCTACAGCAAACTGTGTTTTACTGGCCACAGTCTTAACAGTGAACTCTAATCACCTCATACAGTAAGAGAAACATGGTGGTATGTACTGATGTATAATCATAGCCATATCACATGTGTAAAATCTCATATATTGAGAGTCAGATGGTCATGTGTCAGTAAGGTGGTTGGATTCCACACAGTTCTCTGTGCATTTGGAGTCCTGGACCTGGCAGTTTGTAAAACATACTAGGAGTGTATGTGTGTGCATGCACAAAATCCCAAGAGGAGAAAATGAAGGAGAAAGGATTGCAGTGCAAGCATCCCCCTAGGGGATAATTTCGCACTTTCCCTCTCTTTCTTCAGGGAGTGCCCTGTAGAAGAAAAAAAAAAAACCTCAATCTTGGGCATTGTCCAAAGGCAGATTCTTTTCTTATTGTCATTTATTGGTTCAATAGTTTAACCTGATGATTTAGCAGAAACTAAACTTGTTCATTAGATTAACCTGAAACAGTGATTCTTAAAGCTGACTTTTTCTTGGTTGTTTATAATAGCTGTGTTCTGTGGAGACCCTGGAACCCCTGCTGAGGGACGACTTAGTGGGAAAACTTTCACCTATAAGTCTGAAGTCTTCTTTCAGTGCAAATCTCCCTTCATACTAGTGGGATCTTCCAGAAGAATCTGCCAGGCTGATGGTACATGGAGTGGTATACAACCCACCTGCATTGGTAAGTAAAGATTATGCTACATGAGGATATTTGGGGATGAAGATATTTTATTCCCAAACTGGATTATTTGTGGTTACACAGATAGATACTTGTCTGTGAAAGGTAATGTTTTTTGAGTAAGAACTAATTAGCTAAACTGATAGGCAGCCTCTTTTAAATTATGCAAATTAAGTTTGAAGTTTAAGTCAGAAGCCAGCTAAAGCAACTACTAGACTATTCTCTCACATGCCTCCATCTCCTGTCCATCTCAATTGACAATTACATTATTTTGGGGAAAAAAAGCTTTAAGGAAGATTTAGTTATTACCATTCTCCAAAGCAGCTATGACCAGAGAGACAGCCCAGTTTTTGTTTCATTGTTGTGCAAAGGTATGGATCCTAGATCCGGGAGGCAGTCATTAGAATGCCTCACTAATTGCACATTGAAGCCGGTTGACACATGCCTTAGATGTCAGGGGCTATGCAGAAAAATAATCTACGGAGCATGGCAATCATCTTGACCCTGGCTAGATTATGTGATGCCTGTTCTATGTTTATGGCTTACACATTATCCTCTTTGCTGCATACTCAGACAGCCTTCCTCCAAGTTACAGAGAAACAACATGAGTAAACTGGCTTGACCTATGACACATAATAGAATCACACATGATAGTAACAAGGTCAAAAAACGTCTTCAGTAAAGTCCTTACCTCTAATTATAGAACTTCAACTGTATCCTTGAAAGCTTGCAAATAGTTCACTGTGCCTGGTAAAATATATAAATAAAGAAGCTCAACATGACTGAGCAACACATCCTGTCTGTGTTCACCTGCATCTCTGCTTCCGCGTCTTCTTTCTTTACTCTAACTCTTTCCTTCTCAGGACCAAGCCCCGAGGGCAGTCGCTGACATTGTTGTAGACTCGAGTTTTATTGTTGGGTTAATCATGATCACCCAACTTTAATGAGCAGAAAAGTAGGTGTTCTGTAATTTTATAGCAAAAGGAATTAATAATTTATAATCTTGGTTAATATCTAAGAAATCGAGTATCTTGTTAAAGACAGTATTAGAAATAATTTCACTGAAGCATTATTTTTTTCTAATTATACAAATGCATGCTATCATCTGATTTGAAAACCTCTGCTACATGGTAGCTGTCTCTCTAGTAAAAATAGTTTTCTTCCCCCAGTAGGTTAGCTGCTGTGGAAAACACATTTTAAAAAGTTATCTATTTTGTTTTTCTCCTGGTAGCTGGAGAGCTGCCAATATAAGGCTGAAGTGCTTCTGTTTTGCTAAGGTCTTAGATTTTTAGAAAGTGTCACTGTTGGTTTATTATACACTTCAATTTTGAAGCATAAACATATTTCTCATTTAGAAATCTTGAGGAAAATTAATTCAAGGAACTTGGAATAATGTAATGGATGACCAAACGAGATGGCCACTAATCCTTATAAGCCAGAAGATCATAATAGATAATTATTAAAAATGGTACAGTAGATTGTCTGCATCCAGGGTTTCACATCCATGAATTCAGCCAACTGCAGAGTGAAAATATATTGGGCAATAGGGAATGGGAGAAAGAGGATCAAGAGCAAAAAGAATTTAACACACACAAAAATGAAAAGTTATCTGTTGATGGTGATATCTTTGACTTGACAAATATTCATGCTGAGAAAAAAACATTTTGTATGCTGTAAAGACATACAGTGATCAGATGTAATAAAAATAAAAATGTAATAGTAAAAGTAACAGAAATGAAAAAATAGTTTAATGATTATTTACCTAATATTTAAGTTTTATTAGGTATTATGAGTAATCTAGAGATGATATGAAGTACTCAGGAGGATGTACATAGGTTATATGCAGATAATATGCCATTTACTATGAGAAACTTGAGAATCTGTACATTTTACTATCTATGAAGTTTCTAGAACCAATCCTCTTCAGAAATCTAGGGACAATATGTCAGTTGAGAAAAAATAGCTTAATAGAGAAATGTATGTATCTTATTTATAGTCTGATGAAGCACTAAAGATTAATGTCTAATAAAGATGTCTGCAGAAAAGATGAAAATAGCAACTTAGTTTAATTTTTCACGTTTATGAAAAACACCATGCACATTTGTCAAAACAAAATTTTCTCAATTTTGTAACACCTTTTAGTGAAAAGTATTAGAATCCCATAATAACCATATCATGTTTCCTTTTTAATTATGAATTTCAGATCCTGCTCATAATACCTGTCCAGACCCTGGTACCCCCCACTTTGGAATACAAAATAGTTCTAGAGGATATGAGGTAATTCATTTTCATTTTATTATTTTTAGTATAAAATATACTTCAATATAGGTGTACATTTTAATATATCTTATATCATGTTTCATTCATCCAAGTAAGAATTTATTCACAAGGGATTTCTGTATGTATTTTTAACTGTTAAACAGGATAACCACCTTTATCTTGATCACTACACTGAAAGATACTGTATTGATTATTTTTGGGGGGAAACAAGCATAATTCTGTATCTTTTGTCTGCCAAACTCACGTAGCAAGTTTCAAATCTAGGTCACTTGTCACTGAATAGTACAAATTTAAAAATCCCTTTTAGGAGCTTGACATAATAGGAGAATAATATTAAATTATAGAGAAGTAAAACAGAAGAAGACAATACATTCAAGCTTGTTAGTCTATGTTAATGTGTGGTATATTCATTCTCTATGTGATCTTTTAAATCTCTACGAATTAGTAGCCTCTTGAATATCACTGTGGAATGCTTATTGAACCTTTAATAAACTATATGCTAACACTTCAGTTGATATGAGAGAAATGCCTAAAAATGAAAAGTAATTAAGCTTGCAATACAATGTTTTAACCATCTTACGTAATCAAGTAACTTCATGGCTTACTGATTATGGGACTTTGAAAACCAAAGTTAAATATATATGCTATTTTCAACTTAGGAATCCTATCACTTTAGAATAAGAAACCTTTTGCTTGAGCCACTTTTCCCCATCTCCCATAAATGCTAAAATATTTCCATTTTCCTGATTCTGTTTCCTAATAGTTCTCTTGTGGCTCACAAGGGACTTCTTGCCATAGTTGATGTGTTCAATCTAGTACATTTTATAGTAGGTCCCAAATATGGTATGAAACTTCAGGTACATGCTTTCTAGCTTATAAATATTTAATGCAAATTATCCAAGCATATTGAAAATTACCATATGTGGATATTGCTTTCACGGGCTAACTATAGAAAATAAAAGTCCCCATTGATCACTATTGTTTTTAGTCATTCTTAGCTAGCCTATGCAGAACTTACAGAAAGTGCAAGTGAGGGTAACTAATCTTTTGTCACATAGTTTTCAAATCTATCATGAGAAGCTGGAGACAGATAAATCCCTTGCCCTCTTTACGATGCAATAAAGTCATACCATTAACACAAATAATAGAGTGTTTGCAACTGCAGGATTTACTCGTAATTTAAAGGCTGCAGATACTGTTGTAAAGATATGCTTGAGACCAAGAGATGCTGCTGTCCACCTCTTTTTTTCTCTCTCACTCTCTTTTATTCAGGCACATTTTGATTTTCAGTTTAACAGATAAGATTCTGGTAGTCTTACTGAGTATGTTTAGGGGGCTTCATTAATCAAATTTTAGGAGACAATGTGGTCCCAATGACAGCTGCCAAGAGTACAAAGCTGCTCTCTCCTTCTCCCTTTTCTATGTGCCATGCATGGCCTCGTACTCCAGGTGGGGGTAATCAGAGATGATGATGATGGCAATTCTTTCCTTAAAAGAGTTATTTATTTATTTATCATTACTATTATTATTTTTTAAGAGAGATTTTTGCTATAGGGCATATGCACTTGCTGGAGAGACAGATAGAGACAGAGAGACAGAAAGTAAGAAATTCCCTCTCCCTCCAGGGGATGGCCACATCATAATCCCTTCTCCTCAATTCTCCTTTTGAGACTTTGTGCACACACGCACATGTGCCTGGCATGAGTTTCAAGCCTACGGGTCCAGGACTCAAATCGTAGTTGGCCATGTAGCAGTCCAGAGCCGTAACAATTATGCCACCTGCTGGTTCCTATTTTTTTTTTTTTAATTTGCTATAGTGCATGTGCATTCACCAGACAGAGAGAGAAAGTGAGAAAGCAAACTGCCAAGCCTGGGAATTGATCCATGCTTGGCCATGTGGGAGCCTAGTACCTTAACCACCATGCTACCTGCCAGTCCCGTTATTAGTATTTTTTATTTCTTTCATAAAAGAGAGAGAGAGAGAGAAAGGATCCTTCAACAGGGTCTCACCATGTCGTATCCTCCCTCAACCAGTCAGGGTCATGGGCATACCTACAGGTGTACTTGGCCTCTCCAGATCAATCTGGGATCTGGACCTGGACCTTCCCATATAGCTTCAGTATCATGCAGCAGCGCCTGGTTCCTTGAATCATTGTGGCTAGGTCCATGAACTCTTTTTGATGCCCCTGAGTACGTTACTATAACTCATTCTTTAAAAAAAAAGTTGTTATGGATCACTGGGAATGTCCCCTTCAAGGCACTTTGAGTTAAGGAAGGAAAAGAGGTCAATGTATAAACAGGCATTTCCAGTATGTCACACTGAGTGACACAGTGGCCATTTGATGCTGGGCATCATCAGACCTGCATTAGAACAGCATGTGACTCATCCCTGGAAGATCAATAAAGACTGAGCAGAGGACCTACCGTGTAAAACGTATTGAGAATTAAGTGGGAGATAGCTTGGTTAAAATCCAGTGCAAAATGTGCCTCAGATGGTCAAATAATAGTAAATAGTTAACATACTTTGAAGTACCAGAAGAATAGATTGAATTTTAATGGATTCTATTACAAATGTAGAGCAGGCTATTCTCTGGGGAGTGTTAACAAGTGTAATTTTCTAATAAATATCAATCATTTCAAATGCAAGTAGAAGAAAAACATTGAAAAGGAAATAATAGTTATAGCGTATTTTCTTTACCAACACAAACAGGCCTTCAAACTGTTATGATTCCCTACATCTGAAATCAAACATTGTTTATCAAAACAATCTGTATTGATTATAATGCTTTAACATGCAGTTAAAATGTACACATTGAGTCAATCAGTGGCTTGATAGGAATTGAAAAATTACTGGTATACGTTTATCAGGCCATGTGCTTTCGGGCACTATGATTTCCTACTGAGTATATTCTTTTTTCCTCTGAAGCTAGTATTGGATTTCTTCCATAGGTTGGAAGCACGGTCTTTTTCAGGTGCAGGAAAGGTTACCATATTCAAGGTTCTACTACGCGAACGTGCCTTGCGAATTTAACGTGGAGCGGGATACAGACCGAGTGTATACGTAAGTGCGCATTTTCCCCACTACAGTCTGCACAACCTATTTATTGCTGTGTGTGGGAAGTGTTTCCTTGTAAGCTAAATAATGTGATTAAATGTAAAAGAGAAAATGAAATTTAAAAAGTGTAAAGAAGAAAAAGAGAGAGAAATAAGGAGGGACTGTTTTGTTTCTGTTCCTTTTTAATTCTCCAATTCCAAACTTTAAATGTTTCTCAAAATAACGCCAGTTCTCAAGCTCCAGCCCAGACCTGCTGAATCCGGTATTTGGAGGGGAGGGGAGGATGTGGGTAAGGAGCAGCAGCAGTCTGTAGCTTAGCGAGCCTCTATGTGATACTGAAAAGTTTAGAGGCACCAAAATTGGAGAAATGGCTCAAAACCAAAGATACGTGAATTACATTATATTTAACATTCTTAAGAGAAAATGTTTTTTTTTTCTTTTGCTATGTTTGCATCAGATTATTAAGAAAGGCAGTGAACAGGATCATGTGATATGTCATAGTAAACGCAGAAATGTTTAAATAGTAATTATTGCTATTATTGCAAGTCTATCTGAATTGATCATTGACATACTTAGGATTCAAATTTACTTTGTGACAATTATGAAAATTAGAGAAATATGTAAGAATGATTAGTCAGTCAATTGTCCATTTTACTCACTGTGAGTTGAGTGAAATACTCTTACTTTAGCTATAAAAACATCAGTACAACGTTATAAATATTACCTTAATACCATAAAATGTATGATTTTTTTCATGTATTTATTTATCAGTATTACCTATCACCATAACTCTTACTATATCACTACTTACATTATGTGGCTATTGTATATAGAGACAGGTTTATACACATACACTCATATATATGTATTTGCAAACTGTATATGAAAAATATGCACATATGTGTAATGGAGATCTTGCTAATATGAGGCCTTCATTATTTTGAAAGTTAGAAAGATTTTTCTAAAGTATGACATACATATAACACTTAAAATGATTGCCCTTACCATTTTAAATTTGCAAGTTATATACTAATCAACCCAGTCCTTTACTTGAGACGCATATTTGTGAACTTCACAACAAATGATGTTATTTGAGAGAATAAACATGGAAATCTCATTTGTTCCTCAATTTAAAGGAATGAAGAATCTATAATATCTCTATTAACTTTTTAAATACACATAAAATTTTTAACAAAATGGTTAATTTAATTGAAAAATGAATCTGCTAGTCATCACCAAATGAAAGCCAAGGCATGGGGGCCAGCAGGTGGCGTAATGGTTCTGTTGCCGGACCAGCACATAGTTGAGCATAATGTGAGTCCCAGACCCAGTAACTTAAGCCTCATGCTGGGTGCGCGTGTGTGAATGCCCAAGATCCCAAGAGGAGAACAGAGGAGAAGGGATTATAGCATGGCCATACCTCCTGGGGGGGTTACTTCTTGCTTTCTATCTCTGGTGAGCACATGCACCATACAGGAAAAAAAAAAAAAAATCAAGGCTTGTTTCTTAGTGTGTGTCAGCATGAATGTGCTTAGCCTTTTTTTTTTTTTTTTTGGAAAGGTTTTTGCTTTAGGGCGTGTGCGCTCGCCAGACAGAGAGAGACAGAAAGCTAGAAATCACCTCCCTGGGGGAAGGGCCATGCCACAATCCCTTCTCCTCCATTCTCCTCTTGGGATCTTGGGCATGCACACACACACACACACGCGCGCCCGGCGTGAGTTTTAAGCCACCGGGTCTGGGACGTGAACCGCGGTCTACTACATGAGAGTCCAGCAACATAGCCATTACACTAACTGCTGGTCCCTGATACTGCTTCTTTTAAAAGATATTTGAATTATTTATTTCCATACTTTATCAGAAATGGTTTATTTCACAGCTGTGATCTCTATTCTAAATAGGTACACATTGTTACTCACACATGCTAACTTACAACTATTTACTAGTTCTTTTGAATATTTATTTCTAGACACTATTTTTATACATATATGCTAACTTTATACTAAACAAAGTTTCGGTGTTTCCTAATGGAATAAATAACTGTTTCAGCTCACGCCTGCAGACAGCCAGAAACCCCAGCGCATGCAGATGTGAGAGCAATCGATCTTCCGACTTTTGGCTATACTTTGGTGTACACCTGCCATCCAGGATTTTTCCTTGCAGGTGGATCTGAGCACAGGACATGTAAAGCGGATATGAAATGGACAGGAAAGTCACCTGTATGTAAAAGTAAGTCATTGACCAGGGATGAAATACGTTCCTCAAGAGCAAGCATGTGTTTCTGTCAACTGAGCATCAGGCTAGTTTGCAGGTTTCTGATTCATGAGTAAGAGCATTATGCAGGTGGTATTATTACCCTGCCTAAATTGTGCTTAATGTGTGTGAGCTGTGTGTGTGTGTGTGTGTGTGTGTGTGAATGTGCATATGGTTCAGGCTTTAATATTGCAGCTGAGCTAAAAGATATGTAGATTTTATTATTTGAAGCCAAAGAGAAAAGGCATTTGATTGAAATAAATCATTCTGAACTAAAAAAGAAAATAATCTACAGAATAAGGATAAATACCATTGAGTGTTTGAGAATACGTAAATTGAACTCTGTTATTTTTCAAAACATAAGCTATTTGGTGGTAGGATATAAATTTATATATTCTTGACATTGGTTCTATTTTTCCAAATGACAAAAGGGGTCAACACGGAAATGATGCATTAATTAAGCACAAATTTGTATGTTTACAAATGAGAGTAATAGCTGTGGGTCAGATTTGATGATAATGAACCTTTCACGTTCCCAACCAAAAATAAATCTATTCTGTATGCTCTGAGTATGGAACAGCATAAAAAAAATTACAGAGTATGACAAAATCAATGACTTCAGTTTTGGTTTTCTGGAGCCTTTTTATAGATTTCAAGTTAGGGATTTTTAAGAGACTTAAGTTTGATTTGCCCTTCCCTCTCAGAAATTAAAAAATAGCAACTTTAAAGAATGATAATTTAGAGTTTGATATAAAACTATAAATTCTAGGAAATTATGAGTTAAATGTAACTCAGTAGCCCAAATTAAACACTCTGCATGAAAAATAATTTGATGCTCTTCAGTGTTAATTTCATTAAGTAATATTTATTGGTTTGGGTGGGGAGAACTGGAAAATTAGGAGGGATTATGAAATCTTAGTTATTTTTTAGATATTACCTTTTAGTTTGGGGCAGGATATCCAAAACAGGGTATCAGAAAATTAATACTTGCCACCCTCATTTGCAAGGCTCTCTATTGTAGCACTTGAATGGAAATATACATCTTAGAGAGATTTACAGCCATTTTTCACCATTACGTTCAGTTTTTCCACAAACACAAAGGATATTCTGCTTGAATACATGGGTTTAAAATGTATATGTATCAAATAATCATATTTTGTACATTTAAAAATCTGGAGGAAGGAAAATTGCTTCAATTTGACATTTTTTTCAACCTTATTCAAAAATAAATGTTTTTGAAAATGATAATTTGTCTTTTTACTTGTAGGTAAAGGAGTGAGAGAAGTTAATGAAACAGTTACTAAAACTCCAGGTTTGTATACCAGAACAGTTATAGATTTAAATCCAATAAAGTGATTTGTTCTCTACGCTGTGCAGTAAAGCAACTTTTAAGATTTAAATTTCTGACTCCAATAGTCCATGACAAAATTAATGTTTTAGTTATTTAAAACATCAAGCCTATGCAGATTTCTTCTTTTTTTTCTTTTTCAAAACAGTGGTTTGTTAATGAAATAACATTATTTAAAATGAAAACCTTCGGTGTTATCACTCACTGTTTCATTAAAAAGTGCCTCAGGCATTTGTAGGCAGAAATAGACATAAAACATTTTTAATGCGGTGCAATATAATGGAGAGCCTTATAAAGAGGGTTGCAGTTTTTCCTCCAGGTGAGGGCACTAATATAAATGGGGCATTTTGACGGCTGAAGTTCTTCATTTGGACAGTTCAAAGATGGAGCTCCATTTTTTTTTTCAAAATTTCTCAATAATTCAGGCATCCTCTGCCTTCTAAAATGTAAATTAAAGCATTTTGTTGTATGTGGTGCCTTTCTAAATGCATGATATAGCAAATAAAAAGGTGCAGTTTTATTTCCTGAGGAAGGGTTTCAGTTACAGCATTTTGTTGTACGTGGTACCTTTCTAAATGCACAATATAGCAAATTAAAAAGGTGCAGTTTCATTTCCTGAGGAAGGGTTTCATTACCCCAAATCATCTGACATACTCGGTGTTATAAGCTTAGATATTCCTTAAATCAAAGATTGTGTCCCTGAATTATATTAATGTAAGCACAGTTTATTTTATTATTATTATTGTTGTTGTTATTATTATTATTACCAGGGATAGGTGTTCATGTCTAAAGTCACTTGAAACATATTTTCTCTATACAGGTTTTAATGCTGTTTTCTTAGATATGAAGTTCTGTTTTAATAGCAGACATGGAAAGAGTATCTGTAATACTGTTAAGTTAGAATGTTGTGTTACACCTTAATTTCTTAGACAAGGCAAAATGTACCACCATGATTAAAGAAAGTTCTTCAATCTTCACAATGAAGAATAAAAAAATACTTCTTTATCTGTTGTACTGTTTTATGTAAATATTACTTAAAAGTCAAATACAGAAGCCAATATTCTCTAATCCAGGCAATACTTTCCTCAATGAAAGAAAATCATGTGTGTTTTTATTATTGTTGTCATGCATTTGCTTTGTATTTTATCTCCATATTTTGTATCTAAGATACTGAAATATGTACATAGCTACTTACTATTTTTAGGTGCAATCATTATCATTAATATACCTTTGCAAACTCTCTGGAAAGAGCAGTGCTATTTAAATATGGTTCTTTAACAAGGTGGCACATTCCAACACAGTTGAACTATTTGGTTGTTGATTTATACCATGTGGTACCAGTAGCAAGTGAAATGACAAGAATCTAAGAGATGTTCTCTCCCACATGATTGATGGTCAGGTCAGACTTGAATACCAACAAGTTATTTCTTTTCTTTCTTTCTTTCTTTTTTTCTTTTTACAAGCTATTTCTAAGACAGTGATTATACCTTACTCTACCCAGTCATGCATGACCCATTGCTGCGACACAGCAAGAGGAATAATGTAAATGACTGATTTGAATGAGCACATTTTCTTTGGCTGATTATATAAATTCTAATCAACAGAAACAAATCTTGTGGGCTTTTTTTAGCCTATTAATTTTAGTGAAAGAAAATTCAATTATTTTGTGTGCGTGCTGATTAGAACTGGAGCCTCTGCAGTGCTGCAGATGGGCAAGTGGAAGTGTTTAATGTCAGGTATCAGTAATTTATAAGCAAATTGATTTGATAATGGGGTTGACATCTCAACATTTAACTTTGATAATTATTATTATTTTAGGAAGTTGGATCTGTCTATTCACCATCACAGAAAGATACTGCCTTCTGTTTTTTTAAATTCTTTATAGCTAGACTGCATTTTGTAGGTATTTCCTATCTAGGAAGACAAGAAAATGACTAGTTAGCCATAAAGAGAAGTATGAACATGGGCATAAATGCTTGGGTATCTATCATTTGTAACTATGTGTGAACATCTTAAAAGATGTATTGAGGGAGAAATGAACCTTGCCTAAAAACTCAATGTGTTTTGACCAGTTTTATGTATAGTAAATCTTGTCTAATAAAACAATTTAGGCACACCCTGAGGAGAAAAACAAAGAGAAATAGTAGAAGCACTGATGTAGATTTGTAATACTATTCATTCACTTTTATATTAATATATAAAAATGGTATGATTTTATACATGTTTTTTAGTAGAGATGAGAAAAATAACATTTTTACTTGTAAGGAGTGCAAAAAGAGAGAATCGCCCAATGCTATTTTCAAGTATTACTGCACCAGGTGAATTTTATGTTTTAAAAAGACTGCATACCTTTTATTTTTTAATTCACAAGACATATATAAAAGAGACCTTTGAGATTATTGAATCTATCTACAAATATTGTATGATTTTATCCTTGGAGCTTAGAAGAGCACGAGTGAGAGAAATTGGCTCTCCTAACAAAAATAAAGATTTGAAGACATGAGACACTTTTGAAGGCCAGGAATCCAACAGATGTTGGTTCTTATGAGCCTTCTATGTCTTTCAATGAGTGGACTTGAATATTAGTGAAATATCAATAGTGATTTTATGGGTCAAGTTAACCTATTTCTTAGTAAGCACATTAAAAAACTAATGTAACATATTTAATAGTACCGATTCACCATACCCACTAGCCTTGGCATATCTGTCATAATCATCACGCTTTGGCTTCTAAAGTACTTTTCCAACAAAGTAAGAAATACCTACTTGCATACCTTAGTAATCATCCTACCTGCTTCTTTTGACTTTTACAACAGCTAGGAGAGGACAAGGCATTAGGTTATCCTTGTTTTCATGAATGTTTTTTATCTGTGATCCTTCACTGAATAGTATTATGCCTTCTGTGTTTTAAAATGTCTAAATTTAATGTGTGTGTGCTAACATTTCTCTATTTTCCTTCTCCCCACAGTTCCTTCAGATGTATTTTTTATCAATTCAGTGTGGAAGGGATATTATGAATATTTAGGAAAAAGGCAACCCGCAACTCTAACTGTTAACTGGTTCAATGCAACAAGCAGTAAGGTGAATGCAACCTTTACTGAAGCTTCTCAAGTGGAACTGAAATTGACAGGTAGGTCCTGAAGTCTTTCACTACATGCACAGGGGGAGCAGAAATAGACCCATGATCTTATCATAGAGTTGGGATCTAACATTTGTCAAGTACTCATTGATGTTGTGTTGACTTGCATCTACCGTATCTCATTGAAGCTTCTTGATAACTGTGGTAGGTTAGTACTATTTCCTCATTTTAAAGAGCATGAAACTAGTACATAAAATTGATTAATTTGCTCAAGATTATAATTATAAGATATCAAGCCAGGATCTGAGATTTATAAGATATGCAGGTCTTACATTCTTTTGACATCCTTTTTTGTAACTTAAGTGATCTTATGCATTAATTTAGCTGATGTTCTAGTGAGTATTTTTTTTTTTGCTGTCAGCCCACAATTAAGCACTTTACATATATTATCATTTTTATTCTTACATTAATCTTATGCTATAAATACTCTTATTATATACATTTTTTACTTGTTTAAAGAAAGAAGAAACCCCTCAGGAAATCAGGTAGCTTTCCTAAGATGACCTGGTAGTTAATTGGCAGGAGCAGGATTTGAACTTGGCAATTAGAATCTTGAATTTCTGCTCTTATCCTCACATCACTCTTTCTTACTTCCTTAAACAGAATGATATCTAAAAATAGTACATGTGTCCTGGACTAGGAAAAGTACAATAATTTCTACTCATAGATGTTCAACAGATATATATTAATGAATTCATGATCTCAGGCCCAAATATTTTCTTGCACCTTGTACTTCTGATTGTATGAATAATTTAGACCAAATACTGAAATCTACTTATACATCAAAATAAACTAAGAAATTAAAATATTTAAATTCCTTAATCTCAACCAGAAAGATTGGATACAATTTTTTCTCAAGGACTCCGGAGAGTTGTTTTTCTTTTCCCAAAGAAAATATTTCAGAGAGATTTTGATAGAGCTGATCTAAATCGATCAGTGATAGTATATTGTAGTCTAGAACAGGGAAAGTGGGTCAGGAATTGTTTCATCTGAGTCCCAGTAGACACGTGGACCTCTCTGGAGGTTAAGCTGTATTAGAAATGAGAGGAGAGGAGAAAGAGAAACAAACATAGAACATAGGCTAGGATTCTGATATTCTCTTGGATACTGTTGTTTAGTAAACACACTCCCCTTCTCCCCACAAAAAAAAAGTCTTACGTCAGGGGCTAGCAGATGGCATAGCAGTTATCTCGCTGGACTTCCATGTGGCTGACTGCTATTCCAGTCCTGGATCCAGTGGCTTGAAAAATCACACCAGATGCTTGTGCATGTGTGCTCAAGATCCTGGGAGGAGAATGGAATAGAAGAGATTGAGGCATGGCCATTCCCCATAGAGAGTTATCTCTCACTTTCTCTCTGACTGTCTCTCTCTCTCATTCCCTCTATCCTCCCCCCCCCACCCCAGCGCACATGCTCTGAAGCAAAAACTTCTTTAAAAAAATAAGCTGTATACATTTCCTTTATAATGAGGGATGTTGAGCATTTTTCACATGCCTTTTGGCTATTTGTATGTCTTCCTTAGTAAGTGATTTTTCAGCTCATTCTCCCATGTTGGAATATTCACTTTGCCAGCTAAGTAATATGTGATTGAATGTATAAAAGAAATTGAAATAAAATATAAAGAAAAAATAAGATATATATTGCATTATCTGTACCTATATCTCTTAATTGGGGTTCAGAGTTCTAGAGGTTAAATGTGTTTGCCAAAGACATCTAACTGTTGATGAAGAGCATTTTGGTTTCTCTTCTGACCAGCTGAACATTGGGCTCTCTTCTATCCTGTATGATCTGCCTATAGAAATCATTCCTGAGAAGTTAGACATTTGCTTTGCTCATCTGAGTCAGTGGGAATTAACTGCTGCCCTTTCTCTGAAATTATTAACATAATAGCCCCTGAAACCACCTGCATTATGGGTTCTATACTTTTTGTTTAATATTTATTAGCTGATTCCTCACTTGTTTCTTCCTTTGGGTAGGGAGTTAATTCAAGCTACAGTACATGCCCCGTCTTTGCCACACCTGAACTTCTCTGGGCGGCACATCCATCATTCTAGCTCTATCCAGAGTAACTGGCAGGTGTGCCTGTTTAATCACCTGGTGTCCCTTCTCAATGGCCTACACAAGACTGTCCTTCACCTTGCTGACCATGCTGTTCTTTGAGAGTTATTGAGTTCAAGGCATTTTTATGAACAGCTGTATTTTGGATTATGGTTTTGCTCTGTTTTTATGTTTGCACTCCTGTCCCTAAGAATGAATGACATATGAATGGAAAGTGATGAAATTAGCAACATTAAATAGATATTCTTTGTCTTTGTTCTCTGGAATAAAGATGTTGAATTTAGTAAAGTGGATTATACTTATTCAAGGACTTTATTAAGAAGACATTTTGAGGGGCTAGCAGATATTATAGCAGTTATATTGCTGGACTCCCACATGGACTCCCACTGTTTGGATCCCAGACCCAGTGGCTTGAAAATCTTGCTGAAAACCTGGGCATGCATGCCCAAGATCCTGGAGGAAAAGCTGTGGCCATCCCCTATGGGGAGGGGGGTAGTTTTTTTCTCTCTCTCTCTTCAGTGATCACATGTACCCTAAGAGAAAAACCTCTTTAAAAAAAAAAAAAAAAGAGAAAAGAAAAGAAGAAATTTTGAGGAGGGGGAAATAGCTCTGGAGTTCAAAATTTAAAATAGAAATAAAAGTAGATTTTGTTTGGATGTCCTATCATGTATAATATTATCATGTCTATATCATATTCCAAAACCAGTGGTTTAAAGTCCTGAATTCTTACAATAAAACTAATTGAATATAATTTTTCCATAGGCGTTTACAAGAAGGAGGAAGCCCACTTACTTCTGAAAGCTTTTCAAATTAAAGGCCCAGTAGATATTTTTGTAAGCAAGTTTGAAAATGACAACTGGGGACTTGATGGTTATGTAAGTACTGTGTGAGGCTGATAAATTAGACATGATTTTCTAATCATTTCTTCATCTGCACAGAGGTAAGGGCAGCCATGTGAAGATTTCTGAGCAGAGTTGTGTAGTATGCTGCCCGTGAAAACTCAGCAGCCCCTCTTCTTGACAGCTTGGCCATTTTTCCCCTTTATTTTGTAATGGAACAAACCAAGGTTTTGAAATGAGAAATGAATTGGTCAAGAGAAAAAGGGTTGTTACTACTGAGAACAAAACAGAACATGAAATCCTGGGTCTGTGCTATAAAAGCCCTCCACCCTGAGGATGGTACAAACAGAATTATCTAAGATCATTTGATCACCACTTTCAAAATTCTAAAAATGTTCCCAGGTTAACAGAGAGATTGAATAGGTTACCTTCGCCTTCCTTTGCAAGTTAACCATTTGTGTATGTTGTCATTCACTATCTGCCTTAAGGGTGTATGGCCCCTCAGTATGTGCTTCTTACAGCCAACAGCTGTGACAGATGGTGAGTTCTAGATAAGGCAGGTTATTTATTAAGACATATGTTTGTCCCCCTTTAGGAAGGGTAGTTGATATATGAATATGTTGTAAAATGTACTACATGCTAGGGTTCAAAAGGAGAGGGTCAACTGAAATTCCAGGTATTGATTTCCAATTTTTAACTATTCATGGGTCACTAAAAGGACTGGCCAAGAAAAGAAAAAAAAATTAAAGAATATTTAACGTGTAGTATTGAAATATTCAATACAATAGTTGGATTAGGAGAATATCATTATTCATCCTTATTTTATACATTTGTTTCCTCCTTTTTCTGCATGACAGGTATCATCAGGACTTGAAAGAGGAGGATTTACTTTTCAAGGTGAAATACATGGAAAAGACTTTGGAAAATTCAAGCTAGAGAGGCAAGGTAAACTGCACTAAAGATTCTTTTTAAAGTAAATGTCAGTTTGGCCATCAAACAAGCGTGCTGAAAGAAACAACAAAGATAACCCAAAAAACTCACAAATATGGAAGTAGAGGGAGAGAGCAACCTATGATAAACGGAATTAAAAAATTATTTTGAATAGCAACATTGACAAACACAAACCTGGAACTAATGCAACAAATATGCCAGGCATAGAATTAATATCCTTACTGTGTCAATAGATTGTAAAAAATAAGGAGGAATAAACAAATATGAAACTCACAAAATGAGCAAATTATACTACATTAAGAAAACTATCAGTTTTTTAGGGGGCCAGCAGAGGGCAAAATGGTTACCTCATTGGACTCCCACATAGTCAACCATGGTTCAAGTCCTGGACCTGGTGGCTTAAAGCACATCAGGCACGTGTGCATGTATGCCCAAAATCCCAAGGGGAGACTGGAGAAGAAGGGATTGAGGTGTGGCCAGCTCCCTAGGGAGTGATTTCTCACTTTTATCTCTCTGTCTCTCTCTCTCTCTCTCTAGCAAGCACACACACCCTATATCAAAAATCTCTCTTTCTCTCTCAAACAAACTAAAACTATGAGTTCTTTAAAGTAAAAATAAATGTAAAGATAATAAAATGTGGCCAACATATCTATGAAAATACATTGAAATATATATGTATCTATATTTATATATGAAGAGAGATCATTTTTTTGTTATAGGTATAACAAAATTTAAAAATGGCTTTGGGTTGATAGTAGAAATACACACTTAGATGTTTAATTTTGGCAGGTGCATGAGTTGATACATACTACTGGCAAGGCCTGTTCATCCAACAATTTCCTCTATAGAGTTTGTCATCAGACAAGTGTGATCATTGTTTTTTGCACATTTAGTTATGTCCAAAGGAGGTTTGTTTGTTTGTTTATTTATTTATTTTGAGAGTGAGATTTTTGCTATAGTGCTCATACACTCACTGGAGAGACAGAAAGCAAGAAATTGCCCCTGAGTTAGGATGGCCATGCCTCAGTCTCCTCTACTTTGTTATCCTTTAAGGACTTGGAGTATGCACACACACGTGCCCAGCATGAGTTTCAAGCCACTGAATGCAGGACTCAAACCCCAGTTGATCAGGTGGGAGTCAAGAGCCTCAACCACTGCACCACTGCTGATCTGAAGGAGGCTATTTTTACTTTTGCGGTTCATAAGTACTTGTGTTATGGACACAAGAAACAAAGTGGAAGGAGAGTGTAGGAGGGGAAGAGTGTGGGGAAAGAAATTTGAAGAAAAAATAGAGAGGTTAAGACATTTGTGGGACACAGATATGATTTATTATCTGTTGATGAGGATGTATATCGTATTCTTAACTGGGCTGATGTGTATATCATGCTGGGTAAAGTAAAGCTCTTTACAATCTAAATGATGTATAGCGAATGAATGTAAAAATAATAATAACAATAAAGAAAAAATAAAAGCAAAACAAAAAAGAACTTGTACATGCTACACATCTATCATACTGGAATTGCTTTGGTGAATAATTTCTGCAAGGATTCAGAAGTCCAATGTGCTATCCATTGCACGACAGAGCCAGATTATGCAGGGATTTATATTAAATAAAAAATAATTTTATTCAGTAAATTTCATTAAAGGAAGAAGGACTATATATTTACATGGAGAGTTTATAACTTCTCTAAGAGAAGAAAGATTTACTTTAGAAAGACAGACAGATAGGTAGGTTCTCTTTCCTTCTTTCATTTTTACCTAACTCATTAGAGAAGGAAAATATGTAGCTACAACCCCTAGATTTGACTCTTACCTTACCTACTTGCTATTTTTGCAACCTAGAATGAGTTACAATATTCCTCAACATATTTATTCACCTGAAAGCTCAGATGAAGTCCCCAGGATTGTTATGAGATTAAGAGACTATATAGGAAATTGCTTTGTGCTTGCTATAGCTCTTTTCATACCAAAGTCCTTAAATAATACTTGTCGCTACCAATACAATAGAGAAAATGCAATTCTGTAATGAGATTAGCACCACATTTCCCCTGAATAGTATATAATACTTTAAATTTTACTTGTAGAATAGTATTAACATATTAATTTTATGAAGAAGAATATTACCACACAGCTTTGGTACCAGAGTCTCTAGTCAGGGAAATAAGAGCATGAATGACATTGTATGGTGATTACAACTGATGAATTCATCAAATAAAAATTTTGTCACCAAGGGTCAGCAGGTGGTGTGGTGGCTAAAGTGTTAGACTCCCACATGGCCTACCACAGCTAAGTCATAGATCCAGTGGCCTGAATATCACACCAGGCACGTTTGCGTGCATGTCCAAAATCCCAAGTGAAAAGTGGAGAAGGGATTGTGGCATGGCCATCTCCACTGGGGGCTAATTTCTCAGTTTCCTTCTCTCTGTCACTCTCTGTCTCTCTCCAGCAAGTGCACACATCATACAGCAAAAACCTAAACAATTTTTTTAAAGATAAATTTGTCATGATCCTGAAGTATTCCAAAAGAAATGTCTAATAGCCTGTATATTATATTGAAAAAAAAAAAACCTTGCTCAAAAGATAACTAACCACAAAATACTCTATTTCCATCATCATTCCATACTCAGTACTCTTAAATAGAAGAACTTTAAAGGACAATGTCAGCAATGGCTGAGATAATATTTTAAATTGGGTTATATTATTTTGGAATAATAAAATGGAGTGAATGCATTAGACCAACAGTAATGATGGGTAATGTTTCTTCTCTTGCTGCGAGCCAAACCCTGTTGTTATTTGTCCTCCTTTCTCCCTGAAGTACACGCTCTAGTAATTTTGTTCAAGGACACCCTAGTGAGCTGTACAAAGAACTGTGTAGATATCTAAGTTTACTCATCCAGTGAACCTGACCTGAACTCTCACTTTGCTGTCACACATTTTCTTTGCATTACTCCATTCCTTTCTGATCAAACAAAATAATAGCTTACTTTAGCAAGTAATCTTTATTCTCTTGTGATGATGAGCTTATTGTCAGGAAAAACAATTTGTTCCACGAAGTAATTTGAATCACAAGCAAGTCTCTCATTTAACTAATTAGAAAAGTTTATGTTTAAGTAATGCTTCAACAACAGCCATTCATTTAAGAGTGATGGCTAAAATGTATTTTTATGGATAAAAATAAACAACCTTGTAATTGGAGGCAGTCTGTAGATAAACCAAAAAAAGAAGTGATAATCATTCAATGAATGCTAAAATCAAGTTAATTTGAAAGGCAACTTTAATGCAAAACTATGCATGAGACACTCAGCAATAAGTTGGTTTCCTTATTAAAATGAAATAGTACCCACCCACACATACCCACAGAATGAAAGAAAACAAATGAAAATTAAATCATGCACCTGATAAACTTGTACCAGAATATATAAAGAATTCATATGGATCAGTAAGACAGAGGCAAATAACCTAAGTTAAAAAAAAAAAAGAAAGAAAAAAACACCAAAAATAGAATAGACATTTCTCCACTTGTGCCGTAGATTCATCTCACTGTTATTGACACCACTGGGGGACACTGTATGTTGCCCCTGGACTTGGCACTGCTCACAGCCACTGGGAAACTCTAACCCATCTCAGGAGGCTTTGCATCATTCACTGCAAACCCAATGCCCAGTGCAGACATATTCAATTGTTTTAACCCAGCTTTTATTCCCATCACCTGGATGTCTCTGATTTATAAAGAGAACAAGTATTTGGTATTTTCCCCTAGCATGTAGAAAGATGATTTTATCTGAAAATGAAAAAAAGAAATCATTTTTTTTAGAGGTTTTGGCCTTAGGGTTCATGCACTCCCCAGAGAGAGACAGACAGACAGTGAGAAGGAAAGTGAGAAATCACCCTGTAATTCTTTCTCCTCCATTCTCCTCTCAAACACATATGCACAAGTACAAAGCATGAGTTTCAAACCACTGGGTCCAGGACTTGAACCGTAGTAGGTCTTGTAGGAGTCCAGCAACATAACCACTACACCCTAAATATGAAAAACTTAATCTGATTTAGGCATACTAGTATGGAAGGATCTCAAAAAGATAAACTTGAGGACCAGCAGATGGTGTAGTGGTTAAGTCACTGGACTTCCACATGGCCAACTGTGGTTCAAGTCACAACCCAGTGGTTTGAAACTCACGCCAGGCATATGTGTGCACATGCCCAAGATCCCAGGAAGAGAATGGAGAAGGGATTGCAATGTGGCCATCCCCTTGGTAAGTGATTTCTCACTTTACCTCTCACTATCTCTGTCTCTGTCTCTGTCTGTCTCTCTGATGAACATAAGCACCCTAAGGCAAAAACCTCTCAAAAAAATAAATGAATAAACTCAAGTTACAAAAAGCTAACATCACTTATAAAGCATGTTCATATTAGACATTAAGATGATAAAATTTGCACATAGTGAGGCAAATGGTAAATATATGAAAGTTTTTGTATGAAAATTCAAAAATTTTGATATAACTAGAAAATTTTAAGTTTTTAATATTAACACTTGTCTTCACATTTATGGTTTATAAAGAATTAAATGAAACAAGATTTCAGATTTATCTTTGGATGTGTTCATTCATAAATTCTGTAAACAGACTTCTATAAAGCCTCTGTTATGTGCGGATGACGCCAACCGTCATTCATTGCACATATGAATTAAGTGACTCTGTAATTAGGCCAAATCCATTTCAAAATCATATTATAAACAAAATCTCCAACAACCAACTTCCTTCTTTGTAAAGATCATTTAATAAATGTTCACTGATTTGAATTCCCAGTGTTTTCCCTTCTCTCAGTACTAGGCATATATTTGGCAATATATGGCAATTTGAAAATATGGATGGTGAAGTTCATGATCATATCAGCTTCTTGATGTTTGAGATGTCTATCTTCCCTTCTAATGGATATAAATCATGCTTTGGCATTCTTCTTTATTTATTTATTTATTTACTTTGGTTTCCTTTTTTCTAATTTTCTATAGGACATGTGCATTCACTGGAAAGAAACAGAGAGAGATAAAGAGAGAAAACACCCCGTCAGGGGGTATGGCCACTCCACAATCACTTCTTCTCCATTCTCCTCTTGGCGTTTTGGGCATGTATGCACATGCATGCACCCATTGTGTTTTTCAAGCCCCCAGTCAGGGACTCAAACCACTCAGCCATGTGTGATCCAGCCACCTTAACCACCCTGCCATAGCTAGACCCATATTTTAGCATACTCTTGTGTTCTTATAGAAACTTACATTAAGACATTGAGCAAAAATCTCTCTTTAAGAAAAAAAAAGACATTGAGCTGCATTTTTGAGTGTTTCTAAACTCTGTAATGAATTTTGGGATCTACCTAAAATAAAAGTAGACTGCACCGATATATTTGTATATGGAGAATGTAATGCCATTTATAGAGAACTGAAATATTTTTATAATTTTCATGATATTTTGCTGACTTTGTGTCTTAGGACAGGAAAAAACATAGAATTGTATTGATCGCCTTTCATGTGTGCACATATGTAATAGAAAGAGAGAGAAACACCTTCCACAGGGTCTCATCATACTGGGGTCTGCTCTGTCCCATCGTCCAGCTCTTCAGGATTCTGAACACACACACACACACACACACACACACACACACACACGCACGCACGGCATATTCCAGGCTAACTGGGGGATCCCAACTTGTAGTCTCGATGTGGCTTCCAGCAGTGGAGGGCCCAGCATTACCACTGTGCTACAGTGGCTGGGCCAGCACTAATTTCTGTATAGAGACAAGACCATGTGGCCTGCCATTTCAGCAACAGATTGGTGGCTGGATGGTATTCGAAATGGTATTGCAATGCTGCAGGATTCAATAAGCTGTGGTTAATGCAAGGTGATACAATACATGAGAACGAAGATGTGAAAGAAGCCATAAGACGTCTTCCTGAGAATCTTTATAATGACAGGATTTTGCTGAAAGAGAGCCCTGGATCTGACCATGAAGCAGCAGATCTTGCCTAAAGAGCAATGGATAAAATAGAAAGATAATTTCTACCTTGAACCATATTTGAAAGAGGTTATTCAGGAAAGAAAAAAGAGAGAAAAATAACTAGGTTGCAATTGTGGATACGGTTGTCCTTATTTTTATGAAGATGTTCGAACCTGAAACATTTCATTTAGAAATTGTTTGGTCTGCAGATGAATTACTCTAAATAAATGTCTACTGTAATAATAATAATAAAAGACCATGTGAATGCTTTCCGTTAGTTTCAATACAAATGTAAAATACCTACAACAAAAAGAAGTAAGAATGTTTATTACTCCTTTTATCTGCCCCACAATTATGACTATCAGTAAGGAATAGTCAGTATTTTGTATCTCGGTCATCAAGACATTAAAATCTTGAGAAAAGAGTACCATTCGTTCCCTGTAGCATTGCATGTCCTTCTGTATTGTGTTTAGATTCACTTACAAAATTTGTCATAACTATCTCCTTGTCTAAGGACAGAATAGGAACTGAAATTATTAATCCTTTTATCTTCCAGATCCCTTAAACTCTGACCAAGATTCTTCAAATCATTACCACGGCACCAGTAGTGGCTCTGTGGCAGCTGCCATCCTGGTTCCATTCTTTGCTCTAATTTTATCAGGGTTTGCATTTTACCTCTACAAACACAGGTACTGTATACACACCAATTCTTTCAAAATGGGATGAGTGTAAAGTATTAGTTTAAACAAGGTATGTGCTTACACGCACATGTACATATATGAGAGAGCAGTTTTTGAAACTTCCTGGAAAATACTTAGGTCAAAAACAATGTGTGAATTTCAAAGTTTTTTATACCAAAATAGACTCGTACTTTAATTCTATTTTTCCACAAACTTTTAAAAGTCCTCTTGTATTTTATATCACTATAATAATATATTCCAATCTTCTGTCTTAACTGAGAATGCTTCTATGCTTAGGCTTTTGTGGCTGTTTGTTCTTTTTCAGCAAAACACATCTTAGCTTTAAAGGATTCATGACTGGGTTAAGAAATAACATGCTTTTTTTTTTTTCCCATGTCCAGTTGAAAGTTGAAATAAAGGCATTTCATTATTTTACCTTCCAACAGAAAATGTAACAGAATGATCAGTGTGCTGTCTTTCTACTCCATGAATCTATCATTTATAGTTTCTTTTTTATTTCTTCTCTCAATAAATAAAAATAGAGCTTCTAATATGGAGCTCGGTTTCAATGGAAATTATATGTTCCATTTCTTGAAAAAAGTTTTCTGAATATCTATTAATTTGCAAATCCTTACTAACTGGAAGATGTTGAAACTTGGGAACAAAATAACAGATGAACTGATTCTTTCCTTGAGGTTAAAGAGAATGCCAAAAATAAACAAAAAAATATATATTTTCTTGCAAACTCCTTGTACATTTTTTCTCTATTTGGAAAATATACTACCTGGAGGAAGTTGACTGCTCTAAAATATTATTTGGAATAGTAGTGTCCCTTACAATTAATAGCAAATATTAGTCCCCCAAAATATGTTAGATTTTGGGGCCAGCAAGTGGTGTAATGGTTACAGCACTGGTCTCCCATATGACTGACAACAGTTTGAGTCCCAGACCCCATGTCTTAAAAATCATGTGAGGGGTGTATGTGCGTATGCCCAAACTCCCAGGAGGAGAATGGATAAGAAGAGACTGTGGCATGGTCATCCCCCCAGGAGGGTGATTTCTCACTTTCCCTCTCACTGTCTGTTTCTCTCCAGTGAGCAAAGGTGCCCTATAGCAAAAACCTTAAAAAAAAAATTTTAGATAGGTCAAAATTTTACTTTTAATACAAATATTTCCATCTAACCCTGGCTTTAAATAATAAACAAGCAAAATAATGATGTAAGAATGTTCTTTTAAAATTGATTTTATTATTATTTATTGAATGTGTCCGGGGCAATTGCATTTGCCAGAAAGAGACAGAGAAACAGAGAAGGAAAGTGAGAAAGCACTAGCTATGGGGAATGGTCACATCACAATCCTTCTTCTTGTTCCTCCCTCCTTTCAGGATTTTGAGCACGTATGTACACTCATGTGTTTGGTGTGTTTTTCAAACTGGTGGACATGAACCACACAGTTGGTCATGTGGGATCCAGCTACCTTAGCAAACATGCTATACGCTGGACTGGATGGTCTTTTTGATAATATATCATGGAATAGCCTAATTAAATAATTTATTGTACTTTGCTTTGAAATATAAAATAATAAGGACATTGCTTCACAGTTATATTGTAGTAGCTGCTGGTATGTTTTCTTGACTTTCCAGTGTTTAGTAATGTTCTTCAAAGATGCTACCTATGAAAGAAATCACAGATGGTATTTTCACATATAAACATTGGCACAACTAAATTGACATTTTTTTGAAGAAAAAATAACTTTTGCACACAAAGTGATGAACTTTATTCTCAAATTTCTACTCAGGCCTCATTTAAAATTTAGTAAATATGAAAATATATGTTTTCATCAAATAAGAAAAAAGTCATGATTGGAAATACTCTTTAAAGAGCTAAAACTAAAATTATAATTTTTTTCACAAGTTCTTCATGATAATGTAATATCCTTATAGAGACACATGCAGTAGGAATTTATCACTGCTACAAATTCATATTTTTCTTTTTTTAGCATGTTAACTGCATGTTAAAGATCTTGTCTATCAAAGCTATTTTCCCTCATTTTTTTTTTCCAATGGGTGAGAGGGGGGAAGGAGAGAAAAACAGGTATTTTTGACTGACAGGGTATCACCTGTGTCCTCCTGTGCTCGCACCTCAGGAACATGCCACCATGTTTCGGTTGAGCTGGGAACTGGACCCAGTTCTCTCATGTGGCCTCAACCACTGGGCATGACTGCCTTTTCAATTGAACCACTAGCTGGGCCTCCCTCAACTTTTGACCTTTTGCCTGTCCATGGGGAAGCCTCTGCTAGTCCTCTGCCTGAGTCTGATGGCATCCCACATGTCAGAGTTTTACCACAGTGAGCCATCATAGATGCAAATGTTATTTGAGAAGTCTTGCATTCTCTTGTCCTTAAAATAGATAACCCTGCACTATTTATACAGAAATTAAATAATACGATTGATTATATCTTAATTGTAAGGCAAAGTAGCATTGGAGGTATCTTCAGGATCCCATATAGCTTTTGTCTTTAAACCTTAGAGTCTCCCCTATTAGTGTTCAATAGGTGACTCTATGGAAGTGATGCCATGGGACTAGATCTGACTATGAACCAGAGATATGGGTGATCTCACTATTTTTTCATATGAATTTGATACTTCTGGGTTGGGGGAGAATGTAATCTCAGCATGACTGAGCTCCCATTCTACCAACATTGCACCAAAACCAAGAGGCTGCATTGGTTTCAGAAAACGAAGAAGCCCCTCTCACCTCGCAGCTACTGTCAGGAAGCTAAGAGGCCATTGTGGTCTCAAAAGCATGGGGTCTTGTGTTTTGTTTTGTATTTTCTTTTTTTTTTTTTTTCAAAATTATTCATTTTATTTTATTATTATTATTATTTAAAATTTGCCATAGGGCATGTGTACTCACCAAAGACACAGAGAGAGAGGTAAAGTGAGAAAGCAAACCACCAGGTCTAGTACTTGAACTATGATTGACCATGTAGGGGTCCAGAGCCTTAACCACCATGCTACCTGCCAGTCTCCAGTGTCTTCTGGTTTTATACTTCTGTGTCATATGAGGAATTTGGGTATTTTTGTAGAAGCAGAGAATCGCATGGTCTGCTGATCTGACACTTCATTGAATTTTTTTTCCGAGTTCTTGCCACCTCTCCAAGTATAGCACCAAGCCTTTATACCCTTCTCTTTATTGGCTTTTCAGCCTTTGCAGTTATAAAGATTCCTTAACAAGTTGGCTTGGTATTTCTCCAGATAAAACCTTGTTTCAGCTCATTTCTGAGTCTCTCTCATTCTGTGTGCTGAGAGTTGTTTTCTCTGTCAGAGCCTGCTGCCCCGGTTCACACCTGCCCAGCATGATTGTGGTGTCCATAGACCCTGCTTCAGTGTTTGGATTCATCCAAACCAAATCTGGCTCTGCTTTTCCCCAGCCATGAGGGAATGAGCTGTGGTGACTCAGGACCTGGGTGGCAAAATAAAACGTTAGCCAGGTTTTTGCCTCACATTGGGCTAAATTTGTCTGCTGACTTTTTGCTGCTGGGGCATTTTCCAAGTTCAGTGCCCCAGACCTCTAAGTCTAAAGGCATTTGCAAACTGCTGTTTTGCTAATAGATCTCTTGTTTTCTGGGAGTCATGCTCTTTTTACCTCTCATTTTATTAATTGATACGTTGCAACTTCAAATTTACCAGGAAATCAAGTTTGTTCATGTTCAGTATCCAGTGATTTTTTTTTTTTTTGGGCATAGTGTGGTTATAACTGCCTGACATGTTTTCTCTAAGAAAATTTCTTCTGGAATAAGGATTAAAAAAACAGAGAGACCATGTATGTTTAGGTCTTTCCAACCTAAAAATCCTCTCTCTAGTCATGGATTACATAGAGGTCATCTTTTACCTGGAAATGTAAATAGTAATTGGATGATCAGGATAGTTTCTTTGTTTTTTTTAATAAATAGGCTCATTTTTAACTTGCTAGAGACAAAATTATAACACGAAAATAGCTAATACTTAGTGACTGTTAGCAATAAACATAAATAATAAGCTTATCATTTATTTTTTAAAATCTAATCTCACATTTATTTTTTCTCTTTAAATATTTATCATAATTTATGATTTATATATAATCTTTCATGTCCTTGTAGGTTACAGAATGGCCTTTAAAGCACATATACTGTGTGTGTGTATGTGTGCATGTGTGTAATTTAGTTTAATCATAACAATCCTAAAGGGAGAAGAACATCACGCATAGTAGCCTTATTTTATAAAACGGTAAAAAGTTTAGTGACTTATCAGTGTTAGACAGACGTCCGAGCTAAAGTCTATGTGCCTTCGGTCTCTGAAATATTCCCAATTGTTCAGGAGCATTCCCAAAAAAACATAGGTAATTCTTTGACTTTAGAAAATGCTTTAATTTTTTATACCCTCTTTATAATACCAGCCGCCAATTAAATAAAATCAACTCAGTAAAGTGTGAAGACACACATGCTTCCCTACTGTTTGCCATCTTCTGCTCCCTGCCCTAGAGGAGTCGTCTCATGCTCATAATCCCACTTAGTCATTTTTGTTTTAAACTCGGGGTTCTGATTGTTTCCTCTTTTCCTTCTAGAACAAGACCAAAAGTTCAATATAATGGCTATGCTGGACATGAAAATAGCAATGGACAAGCTTCCTTTGAAAACCCCATGTATGATACAAACTTAAAACCCACAGAAGCAAAGGCTGTGCGGTTTGACACAACTCTGAACACAGTCTGTACAGTGGTATAGCCCTCAGTGCCCCAATAGGACTGATTCATAGCCATACCTCCGATGGACAAGCAGTAATTCCTTTGGTGCCATATACCACGCTCCCTTCTACTTTTTGCTTTGCTGCAGCGACCTTTAACATCGTCTACTGGCATCCATGCAGCAGGAAAATGTATCAGAGTCTTCTGAGAATCCAATTACCAATGCATCTTCATTCGGAAAGTGGAATCTAAATGCCTGGCTGTATCTGCCTGAAATCAAGGCACATTCAAGGAAGACTGCCAAGTCATGCCGACACGTACTCATTGCCTCAGACTTTCATGTGTCCGTGTGTCTGGGATGCCTTTCAATGCAATCTTCTGGGCACGTGAATACATCCTTCGGGTGCGGTGACAAATGGTAGCACCACAATATGTTTGTTTGTTTGTTTTATTTTTAACCCCTCATGAACATGAATACTCTGGAGAAAAAAAAAAAAAAGCTTTCTTGAAGAAGACACCTTTCTGATAGATGCACACACCTCCCAATGCTTCACTCTGTCCTTCCCGAGACCTGACAAGCTTTGAGGACCTCACAGCTCCCTTAAGTGTCCACCTATAGGGACATTTGAAAACCTCCCAGTCAGCTGTTCTATTGCAGGATTTTCGATGCACAATTTTTTGCACTAGTGTGTTATGAATGACTAAGATTCTGATAAAAAAAAAAAACTTTACACAGGGTTTGTACACACTATTCATTGTATATAGGCATCCTTTCATAGTATCAACCTAAGCATTCCACCATCGGTTTAGTTGGAGTGTTAGAAGCAAGGAATCCCCAGATATGGCAGATATGGCACAGATTTTAAAAGAAAATACAGTATGGAAAAGATTTATTTTATTATTACTTCTATTAATGACATTTCTGTATTGAATTCTTCAGCGATAATCTTAACAAAAAAGGAAGAAGCCTTTTATTTTCCCATGTTTTCCTCCCTCAGCACTGTCATTATCCAGTGGTTGTCCATATTTTCCTAATTAATAGCAGGGGGTTTACAGCAATTTCTACTCGCCATGTAAAACTGTGAATAGTAATTTATTTTAGCTAGCTCATGAATTTGTGGGTTTTAACTCACAAATGCAGTCTTCACTTCTGCATTTTTTTTTCTTTTGCTGTGCCATCCCTCTCTGATATCACATTGAGAAAGTGTTCCACATAGCACCTTAAACTCAGTGATAATTGTCAGGACCAAAATACTAAGTGTTATTTTGGAGGTAAGAAAAAAATCACACACACTCTTCTTATGATGATGTATTTTCTATACTAGTTTTATTTTTTCCTTCGTGCTTTATAATTCCAGATGAAAAGATCATTCCAGTGAAGTGTCAATTTTAAAGTCCATTATAGGTAGATTATGACTTACTGTGTGAATAAAATAGGTGTGATCACCAATATGGATAAAATCAAAACATGACATAGAAAACGTGACCATGAGAATATTTATGTCAAGTTCAGAGGGAAGATCATGTTTATTTCTATTTAGACTTGCTTGATAAACATTTTTGAAAAGAGGATGCATATTTCCTAACGATCCTTAAGTACATATTCCATATGCTGAAAATATTCCCTCCCTCTAATTCCAGATTGGCTTCATGGACAAGAATGTTGAAATTGGCCTTTGCTTTCTTGTAGTGAACATGATCACACCCAGCTTTAAGACTGATAGAAGTATTTTTGTACTGGATGTTTAAATGCAGGACTTTAAATGTGAAAAATGGGGAAATAAAGTTATCAGGACTATAGCTCGTTCTTTTGAAAATCACACATTTTGATTTAAATATTTCAATAGATCATATTTCTTACACAGCTACCACTGTTCTATGACTTGGAAGGGGCATGTGTTGTTAGGAGAACTCACTGACCTCTTCTAGTTACTCCTTTGTCTTTTGAATTCCATAACACTGGAGTCTGTACCATTATGCTGAGTTCTCTGCCCATTTTTCTCTGGCCAAATTGAGAACATCCCTAGAGATTTGCTGCGCAAATGGGAATCTTTCCATTGCTTTTTCTCAGTAGACCAGATGAGGTCAGCAAGAGTTGCTCCTAATACACATTGAACTGAAACTAATGGAATTGAACAAACAGAAAGTTTGAGGATCATTGTGTGCAAGGGAGAACAGGGTTACTATATATATTAGGTCTATATATATACATATATATATATATATATTGTACATATCTAAGTTTGAGTCATTCAAACTAGGTGCAAAATGCTGACTTCAGAGTCTGAATCAATGTCTCTGTTCCCATATCCCTGACCTGCTTGCTGGTCAATGACGTTATGAAATCCTGAAATGACAGGACATACATACAAGAACCACATATCAGATTAGTTATTATTTTTCTTTGTGTGCAAAGTCAAACTGTCCTATGGTTGCCAGTTTGGAGCATGTGATTAAAAAAAAAAAAAATCAGTAAAATTCTCTTGTGAGAATTTCTTCCTAGGGTGTGTGCAGTATTGGATCCAATCTCCCGCGAGGTGTTAGGGCATCTCATTAGGGCAGTCAGGAAATGTGCTTGCTGAGTCAGGTCTAGAAGACTCTTCCCCAAAGGCAACCAGAACCCAGTGAGGGAATCGACCACACGCTAAAACAGGTTATGTGCTTCAGAGCTGTTTAAAACTGCTGCTTGTTTCTTACACATCTTGCCTTTCTTCAGGCTAGCTGCAATAATTTTTTTCTTCTGTAAAATATTTTGTAAACAACAACAACAAAAAGCTATTATAAAAAAAAGGGGGAAAAAAAAGAACGCTGGCATTACGATCAGGAAAACCCATAATCATCGCCACCCCGCCCTGCTGTTCCCACCACACGCTGCTGTCACGAAGTAGGTGCAAAAGACCTTTTTGTACAGAGATATATTTTTTATGAAGAATTTGTAAAATTATTAAATATGCTGTAATTTTTTGATTAATGTAGGTAAATTGTTAAAAAAATAAATGTTTTTACAATACAAAACTGTAATTTTCCCAATAATGTAAAATGTACCATCTCTAGCAGATTTTCAGTTCCAATCCTATTACACATGTATTAATATTAAAGTGGCCTGTTAAAATGAACAGTATCTTTTTTTTGTCAAAAAAAATTATAAAGAGAGTGTAATATAGCCTGTGCAATGCCACCTATCTTTAAAGCAAATCAGAGTTCTAATTAAATATTTAATTTTAGATTTCTATTTTTTTGTGTGAGTTTCTTTAAGCTTTGATGGGTGCACTTAAGTGTGTCGTAGGGGAGGGAAATAAGGGAAGTGTTTATAATGAGCCTCTATTGTGTTTCGAACCAAGCTCAATATTTTCCCAAGATATTCACATCACCATCGTGATAAATAAATAGTGCATTTATGAGTGCATGATACAGTAGTGCTGAGGCGGACAGATAGCTCTCTTGCTGATTTGCATGAAAAACAATGGGAATTTTGGTTCTTTCCAAGCCAAAATCAAACCTGTTTTTATGATTTCTGTTTAATTTAGAAACTCTTTTTGTAAACTTTGACAACACTGAAAAATGATATGCAAGAAAATTATAGACATATTTAACAACGTATCAAATAACACATTTGAGGAAGGCTCAAAAAAAAAAAAAAGATTCTTTTCAATAGCCTTTAAAATTCAGAGCCAGCTGTCTTGCATCCATTTCTGGGGTGAGGGAAAACAGAATGCTTTACAAGTCCTTTGTGGCCCATCAAGCTGAATGTCTTGCCATTAAACAGAATGATATACTAATTTTCCTGAGAGTCAAGTTATTACAAAATGAAAAACAACCAATAATAAAAAGTAGTCCCATGTTGGCTTCAAAGTAACCAAGTTTGGTATCCAACTTACAAACCTGGGTCTATCTGGGGACATGGTGAGTAGTTCTCATTCATTGAGGCACTACTGAGCTGATACAGTATTGGGTGAACTCACAGACATTGCAAGTGATCATAATCACCCTTTTCATGAGTTTGTCCAAAGTTATGTATTCCATGGAAGGAGTCAAAGAGAGAGAAGCACGTCCACAGGGTCCTCGTGCCATGATCCACCCAGTCTGCACCTGTTAGTACAATGGGGAGGTACCATAATTTACTACAGGGAGACCTCAGGACTTAGACCTTGAATCTTTATTTTTTTATGCATTTATTTATTTATTTATTTTTACATTTTTCCACATTTACTTTACATATTAAAAAATTTTAACTCATACTCCATAGTTGTTGACACTTAATAAACGATTTTCAAAATTTCAAAATACTAAATTTTAAAGATAATATTCAAATTACTTAATATAATTTTGCATAATTTTGTTTGTGACTCTGTAATAACAGAAATAGTATGATTTTAAATATTTTGGAGAAAATATTTACATGTCAACTCTTTCTACATGGCTTCAGCAACAGTGAGCATTGCATTACTGAAGTGTCATGATGGCTGGTTCCACTTCCATATTGTAGATGAGAAAGCAGAAATTCATAGTAGTTTATTTACCAAAGGATATACAGATAGGTAGAGCTGATATATGAGGTCACTTGTTTCTTGTTTTGATATTCTTCACAAAAAAATTCATCAATGATTTCCTTTTTCTGACAATGAAACTTTTTCTAAACTTTTTTGTCATTCTACTTGTTTTCCTTTTTTCTGTTTCATTTAGTAAATAATTACCACAAACTTTAGCTTTCTGAGCAAAATAAATATTCTATATTTTTAGTTTTAAAATTCTTTATAATTCTCAAACATAATGTGTTCTCAAGAGTTGTTTTTGTTTTTTGTTGTTTTTGGAGAGGTTTTTGCTATAGAGCGCATGCGCTCGCCAGACAGAGACCGAGAGATAGAAAGTGAGAAATCACCCGCCGGGGGGATGGTCACTCTGCAATCCCTTCTCCTCCATTCTCCTCTGGGGATCTTGGGCATGCATGCACATGTGCCTGGCATGAGTTTAAGCCACCGGGTCTGGGACTCAAACCACAGTCAATCACGTCGGAGTCCAGTGACATAGCCATTATGCTAACTGCTGGTCCCAAGAGTTGTTTTTGTTTTGTTTTCTTGTAAGTTGGAACTTGCTAGCTCTACAATTATCATCTGGGTCTTTTTTTCTAAAACTGAAATCATGTGAGTGCTTTACTTTTATCTACTAATGCATTCCTCTTTTA